ATTATGGTTATGAGATTCTTGCATGACAGCTATTTTCAATTCTGCTCTTCCCCAAAGCACTGAAGGATCAATGATAACCACTCAGTGGATAAGGTTAGGCTAAAGGTAAGTCCAAAGGACTAACAGCCATAGTACTTGCTCTGATCTGGTTCTGGAGAGGACTGGAACCCTAGAGCCAGGGAGAAGTCTGCAGTCTTTGCACAATACTTATGGCCAGGTTGAAAGCTGATGGTTAGTGTTACATCCAGACTGAATCAAAGAGACCAAGTTAGTCTATAAAAGTCAAACCCAACTAGAGTGCCATAAATATATGATAGGCATGCTGGGGTACTAATCTCTTTAGCACTTGGGTGGGCCTGGCCAGTCTCTTCTGATGGCAAGTAGCCTTAACAGGCTGACCCAGGGTGCTTCAGTTTATCCCAGAGTGTTACACAAATGTCTTCTATGAAAAAGACTAAGAAATAGCGGCCTACAGTATTACCCTGTTTACAGATTATTTTTAATAATTTTTGTACACAAACTAAAGGCTTAAGACCTGATATAGCAGTGGTTCTTCTGTTGAGTTATTATTCATTATCCCTTTGAGAATCTGATAAAGCCAAAGTGCTTTTCCCTGTTTTGCACACTTCAGAGGGTTACAGAATACAGATTGTCTATTCTAGCATTATCAGCTATGAACCCAAATTTAATCATTTTAGAGGGGTTCATCTGCTTCTCCCCTACTCTTTCCTAATAAAGTTTTAAAAGACCAGAGAATTGTCAAAGACACCTCTGAAAAGAAGTATTACACTTAACTTCCTTGAAATTGCCTGGGGAGTGTGCAGAAACCACTCTCACAGATCCAAGTGGCATTTCCAAGGAGTACCAGCTGCCCAGGGAGGATGTGCTAATCACTGGCTCCAAGTACCACCTGCTTTGTAGCACCAACTGCCGGTTATACCAGCAGGAATGCCCACCTGCAGTTCTCTGCTCACCTCCCTTTGGGTCTGGATGCATTTTTAGTTCATGTTTATACTAGAAATGCCACATTAGAAACGATGCAGTTTCTATTCTTCACTGTAAGAGCATGACCTTGTTCATGGCTATTAATCACCCCACAGTTGCCAATAATCAAGGCAAGACTGTACAAATAGGAAATGGGGAAAAAAAGGAACATTTACATCAACTAATTTTAGCAGCATCTTTATTGCAACAAAGAAATGGTAATAAAATGCAACAAAACTAATAATGTTCCACTTTACATGATTAAAAGCCAGGTAGCTGAAAATGAGAAAACCCATAAACTTACTGGAGTGAGACATGCAAATCCATTTATACAAGTCAATGCTTAAAACAGCAGGCACTTTTATGTTCTAAAATTAAAGACCCGAACTCCAATTGTGCGGAATACAACATAAATTTGTATTTGGGTTATTTAAAAACAAACATACAAACACTACTTTTCTTTCTCTGTGGGGGACACTTCTGAACTGATTACCTAGAGCTGTCTCTTGACAAAATAAGAACAAGAGTCAGCACTTTGCATAAACATGTCTCCATATTTAGGCTGCAAGATGGAGAGGAGAGGCTGGGTGGGGTTGGGAAGATGGGAGTCAGGGAGGTCTTCTTAATTCCTTTATGTCTGCTGGGAATGGACCTTCACTTTACGTATCTTAGACAGTTGTATCTCTTTTTTATTCCAAATAGCTGTAAGTTGGGCCCCTAGGCCTAAACAAGTATTTTACCCCAATCCCCAAAACCTCAACCAAACAAGGAAGACACATTTAGTGTAATAACTTAGGGTTTCTAGTGTAATTAACTTCAGAATGTCATATACTAATTAGAAGTACTGCTTCATTAATAAGCATGCTTAGCATTTACTTTAGAATGGAAAAATTAACCATTTTATGTTATTTTTAAAATGTTTCATAGGAATATATTAATAAATACTTTTTAAAAATTTGCCTTTTCTACATATCATTTAACTACCATGAGTCAGGACATCTGGATGGAGTCCAGTACCATGTGAACACTAACTGGCTATGTGGCTATATTTCTTCCTCTTTCTATATGTAGGTTCTTCCCTTAATAAATGAGAACATTAGATTATATCAAAGATATAATAGCTGAAAATTTTTATGATTCTATAATTATGAGAAGTCTTATAGGAATAATTCTACCTAAAGAGGGAATACTATTACAGAGAGGTGGGATACACCTTCTGTAAGGAATAAAAGAAATAGTAAAGAAAGCATCAATACCTATATCTCTCTCATTCTTTCAAAAGGTAACATATGCACTGTGACTTCATCCACATGTATGAGGCTTTGGAAGCAAGCCAGGAATGGCACAGAAGGAAAAACCTTCATTGGAAAATGAATCTTCAGACAAAGGGAAGATACAGTTAATAATACCTTCTTCTTTCAGAGTGAGAAGTTGCCAATAGTTATAAATGAGCAGCTTTCTTGACAATTGTTTTAGGTTCTTAATAATCAGCCCAATGTAAAAATCACCTATTATTTTCTTAATCCAACTTCATTCTCTATAAAATAGTTTCTTAAAGTAGCCCACAAGGACTTGCTTTAGAATCACCTACAAAATCTATTAGAATTGCAGATTACTGGTCTCCCTTTCCTATCAACTGAATTCAAATTTCTAAGAGTGAAGATCAGATTCTGCATTTCTTTTAAAGCATCCCAGATGAATCTTAGATTTTGAGACCCACTGATCAGCAATGCACAAGCAACTCTGCTTATTGATGTTTGCTCAAGTGCACCATTTATCAAGCCTGCAAAATTCCCATTTGATGTTTAATCTACTGCTGTCTGGTTCTCACCATAACTGTTACTACTTTTATATACTTCTGTCTTTTTTTTTTTTAAGTTGTTACCCATAGACAGGGTCTATTGATTACTTAAAAGGACTATGATGTTTTCCATCTTGACATAAAAAAAAATTAGACAAGCTATTTTTCTGCAAATGAATTCATTCAGGTACCCAACTGTAGCAGTCCCCCCTCTTTAGCCCCCTTTCCACCCCCAAGAAGACCGGCATTTAGGTAACTGGGAAAAAGAACAAAAGCATTCCATGAAATAAGAAAGGCGGCAAGATGCAAAAGGAAAAATACCTGTGAATTCAAGAGTACAGGAGGTTCTTTAAGGTTTGTTTGGGTAAAATAAGAGATGCTATTTTAAAGAACACCTTAATGGGCAAGACATTTCAAATGAGTAGCTGTCTAAAAGCCACTGTATACCATTTCTACTTTGCACATAAGGATAGATCCTTGGAGGCCAACTAGTCCACAAACAAAACCCACTTCAATAGTCAGAGATATACATAAGTCATGGGGAAAATACTTTCTTGGGGAAGAAAAGTTACCCAAATCAATTTAATTTAACATTGCAAAAAAAAAAAAATAAACAAATCTTGGAATGGGAAAATATCATAAACAAGAAAATCAATACATATACAGACAATAAAAGTGTAATGCCTATTATGCAGTATAAATACACAAAGATTAAAACTCAATCCCTTTCCCAAGGACAGGACCACCAGGTCACCCTGCCATTGTGGGATTCCTCCCACTTCCCATCTGGCCCTCGATGATGAAATCCATGTCCAGTGCAGTTACCATCCTTACTAAAGAAGGCTATGCTTTCTGTGGGAGAAATCTACTGTCCCTGTAGAGGACAGTAGTGGTGGAGAAAGGAAAAGAGCAAATTTTCTTGAGTGGTGTTTAAAAGCACCATCAACAACTTTCTAAACACCAAAGCTTGTGATATAAGGGTCACAGTGCTTTCTCTGCGACTGGCTCCCATGTAACCCATCTAGTACTCCAATGCTTTAAGAAGTCAGATCCCAATCAGCACCTAAAGGTCAATGAGCTCCCTTAATGGTGGTCAAGGGCTAAGGCTAACTGGGGAACAAGTCATGGTTATTCAAGAACACCAAAAAAGACAGTCATAGCTTGCCAGAGATCAGCTTATGGTAAAGAGGTTGTCTGGAAACCTTTTGATTTGATGCTTACAAATCTAATTTATGCTTAAATAATTTAAAAAGGATTAAAAAAAGGTTTAAATTTGTAAACTTTCTAAAATTAAGAAGAAAATTAAAAATTGAATTAGAATTACAAAAAAACTCTTAAGACCTTTCCTCCCCTAAATAATGTTAGTTTGTATCTATAATGGCAAGAGAGTGATTTCTTAATTCTGGTTTCCTTAACTAATATTCTAGGAGTTTAAATTTTACTTCCAAAATTTTTTCATGAGTATTTTTGGTCAGACTGTACTTCTGCTCAGTTCTTGAGCAGACTCTCCCTGCCGTTTTCCACACCCTGCTCTGCCCACCCCACCATGATTCCTCTCCTCCTCCCTAAAACTCGGGAACATTTTAATAAGGAAATACCCAATGGAAACTGGCACCACTCAATTTTCTGAAGAATACAAGTGAATGTGTACTTTTTCCTTTTCATAAAGGAAAAGAAATTACCTGCAAATATTTAAGCTCTAATCATTTGATTAAAATTTTCTGCCTGTAATTATCAATATAAGACTAATTTAATCCATGCTACATATACAGTTACTTGCCTTTATGTGAAAGGAAAAACCCACTCTGTCATATCATCAAAGAGAACTATTTATACTAGATACAATTTAAATTGGCTAGAAACTGGTCAGAGCTTGAATGAAATAAAGTCAGTGTCTTTAGGAGGCCACTAAGTTATCCTTGAAAAATCATTACTGACTGGTTAAGTCATAGGTTTAATAGTGATTAGTTCATAACATGCTGGATACACCCCAAGCAATGAAGCATAAGCTATTCAATTACATTTAAGTGCTCTCAATTCTGTAACTAGTCAGAGATTCTGGAATTGAACCAAACCAATCACTAATATCATCATATCTGAATAAACTCAGAAGTATAATGTAAAAATACACTAATTAAGTCCATGAGGTTTATAATGCTATTATAAGTGAAAATAAGGTAGTATGGATACATGGTGCTAATGTCGTATTTCTTTCAGTAGTTCTCATGGTATTGCTGGATCCCTTAATATATGTCATTCACCTTTGTGTATGTATGTTTAAGATAACAGATTACTATCCACAAGCTGCAGATGCCTGCCTGGCACCAAATAAACTTTCAGAAGTAGATGTTATGTGGCAGGTACCAAAATGTGATGATCAATTTCATGTTCTCTATTGATTATACCTCCTCATTTGGTTAAAAAGCCAGTGTATACCAGAGTTCTACACAGGTCAAAATTATATCACTTTCAGAGCAGCGATGCGTGATCCAAGGTTTTCTTGAAGGTAGTGCAAAAGATGCAGTTCATAATGTTCTCCAGATTCAGGAACTCGTATGCTGTGTCTCTCCTGAGGATAAATCTTAACAACAACAACAACAAAATCAAAATACGAAACATAAAAATTCAAAATACATTTCTTTCTAATGCTTTCCAGAGATTTTCAACAGGAGAATATTATGGAACACAGTCTCTCCAAAGATTCTAGGCCCCTCTCCTCTTTTAATAATTCCCTGCATACCACTAGTTTACAGAAGGATTTATCTGTAGATCAGTGGTTCTCCAAGTGTGATCTGCATATTTCTGGGATCGTCAAAAACTACTTTCAGAATGATGATAAGACAATATTTGCCTTTATTCACTGTGCTGGCATTGTACTGATGGGGAAGTTAAATTACTCTTCACCATCACATACTTGCAGTAAAAAAGAAAAATGTCAACTAAGTAGCAGTAAAAAGTTAGAATTTTGTTAAACTGTAACCCTTTGACTAGACATCTCTTTAATATTCTGTAGTGATAAAATGGAAAGAAAGTAGAAAGCATATCTGCTATAGGATGTCTCAAGAAAAAGCACTTACGCCACTGAGTTGCAAGCTGAACTGTTAACTTTTTTTTTTTAAAGATTTATTTATTTCTACGCATATAGGAACTGGGGTATAAGCCAGAGGTGCGGCAGGTGAGCGGATTCACCAGAGAGTGGGGAGCAGAACAGGCAGATGTACTGAAACACACTGCTGAGGGGAGCAGCAGGCGAGACAGGAGAGGTCTGCTGCGCCATGTGGGTTGCTCCCTGGCTGACCAGGGGATTGAACTCATGCTGCAGTGGCTGGCAGTAGCTCGACAGCATTGTCTTTAACCCCTGCACCACCAGGGAGGCCCCTGAACTGTTACTTTTTTTTTTTTAAGATTGATTTATTTATACAAGAACTGGAAGGGTGAGAAAATTCACCAGAGTGGGGAGCAAAACAGGCAGATGGACCAAAGACACAGCTGAGGGGAGCAGTGGGCAAGGCAGGAGAGGTCTGCTGCACCATGTGGGTTTCTCCCTGGCCGGCCAGGAATCAAACCCGCACTGCAGAGGCTGCGGACAGCTTCACAGCCTGGCACTCAACCTGCTGCGCCACCGGGGAGGCCCTGAACTGTTAACTTTTTAAGTGGAACTCCATTTTTATTTTTTTATTTTTATTTTTTTAAAGCTTTATTTATTTATTTATACAAGCACTGGGTACAGTTAGAAGCGCAGGAGGGTGAAAGAATTCACCAGAGTCAGAGCGGGGAGCAGAACAGGCAGAAGGACCAAAGTACACTGCTGAGGGGAGCAGCGGGCGGCAGGAGAGGTCTGTGCGCCATGTGGGGCCCTCGCTGGTGGCCGGGGATCGAACCGGCGCTGCAGAGGCTGCGGGCAGCTTTGCAGCCCAGTGCTCAACCAGTGCGCCACCAGGGGAGGCCCCTGGAACTCCATTTTTAACTTGAAAGAATGACCTACAACTATAGCGATATAGGTATCTATATGTAACAAATATATAATAGGTACCTATATCTATATATAACTGACAACTATAGTGACATTGAGTATCTGGCAAACACTTGATCAAAATTAATAAAGTGAACTGGTCATTCAAGGACAACAATGAAAGTATTGTTGTCAATGTTAAATTTTGAACTCAATGATGAATTTTAAGTGAAAATGGAATTTTGGAAAACTTACATCTAACCACTACTAGTTCATGAGCTTCCCAATACTCAGAGACTTTTCTAAAGAAATCAGCAGTGATTATTAGTATATGAGATTTTTAAAACAGCAAATAATAAAATGAGTTAACATTAAGAAGACTGGCATATGGGCCCTGGTGGTGCAGGGGTTAAAGTTTCAGCATTATCAAGCTATGGGCAGCCACTGCAGCATAAGTTAGATCCCCTCCCCAGCCAAGTTGCTGACCCACATGGCGCAGCAGACCTCTCCTGTCTCACCCCTGCTCCCCTCACCAGTGTATTTCAGTGGATCTGCCTGTTCTGCTCCCCACTCTTTCTCTGGTGAATCCTCTCACCCTCCACCCTCACACCTCTGGCCTACACTCCAGTTCTTGTATGCATAAATAAATCTTAAAAAAAGAAAAAAGACTGGCATAACACAGTGAACCAATATTTTCCATGACCAAGTATGGGTGAAAGATTCATGTGAAACACATGACCAGAGAGTTTTGATGGAATGTTTCTAGATGTCCTAAAAAACTACCATTTTGCCCACTCTTGGTGTACAGATTCTTAACACTATCAAAAGTAGAACATTCTCATTTGGTAGGTTATGCGTTGGGTCTGGAAATGCTATTATCACTAATTTATAGAAAAAAAATTTTAAGCATTCCCAGAACCAAAATTTAACCTACAATGCTCACTTTGGAAGCACATATACCAAAGCTTAACTTACCAAATCATACGAAATAAGAATGTTCTACCTTCAGAGCAGGGTTAAAGAAAGTCAATTATCTGAAAATCGGGCTAAAATATCCCTGCCATTTCTAAACTGCACACTATATGAGGTCAAATCTTCTTCACATATTTTAGCCATAACAATATTTCACAACAGATTGCTTGCTTGTAGAAGTAGACATGAGGATTCAGGTGTCTTCCTTATCAGCCCAGACATTAGGGGTTTCACAAAAATGTAAAACAAAGCAACTATTTTCAGTAAATTAAACTTTTAGAAAAGGGATTTTCCCTTAAAAATATAATTTGTATCAATATATAAAAGGTTATTATTGTTATTTTAAAATAAGTATTTAAAATTTTTCTTAACTTTAAATCTCTTTGGTATATGAAAAGGGTCCCAAGACCTAAAAGCTTGCAAATTGCTGCTACAGACAAGTATCTCATAATTTCCTTACATAAAAGTCAACTGAAATATAAACAAGAACAAGGTAATGGTTTTAATTTCTCATAAGCACACAATCTGTATAAAAAATAGAAAGGGGGAACAGTTACAGAACACAAGATAGTAGCGATAAACAAGTCAGGTAATAGGACAGGCCACAGTTTCAGCCTGACTTTAACAAAACCTTAATTTCTCTCCAACTAGAGAAATTTATTTTAGTTCTCTTAAGCAAAGAGTGACCACAGCTGAAAATTTGCCCTTACTCCTTGGTTTATTAAAGTTCAAAGTAAAATCAATCATTAATCACTACTTAAGCTGATCAGAAAAGGTAGAATAACTCACCTGTAAATCATATGGCTTTCCAGCTCTCACTAAAAAACTTAGTAATATACTGGTGTGTGCAAAATGGACATTTTCATCCAAGAAGCCATGTAAGAGCAGTAAACGATTTGGTCTGAAGAAATGGGAAAAATAAGAGAATCAGGCAAAATCCCACTCTAGTACTGTGGTAAACCACATAACTCGTTTAAACTAACTACATTAACTCATTCAAACTAACTATATTAACTAACTAGTTAACTAACTAGTTAACTTCCTTAAATTATAATATTAGAGTAAGAATTCAACATTTTTATATCAAATTTATAATACATTAACAGAGGCTACATGTAATAAAAGATTTTAAAAAGCGATATGTTCAATTTCCTAACAAGATACTGGCACACATCAATAATTACAGTATGTTCCCAGAAAAAGATCAATTATAGACACTATCTGTAAAACAGTTAAACAAAAATAGATCTTTTTCTATCTTGAAACCATTGTGTACTTCTTTAAGCACAGCAATTGTTTCAAATCTAACTTGTAAAAAAAAAAAAAACAGCCATGCCATTCTAGTATTCTATAAACTACTACTCTTGGTTTTGCAGTATTTGTAGTTTTCATTAATATTAAAGACAATTTTTAAAAATATAATTTTACATTTATGACTTTAATGTTAAAGCTTGAACTTACTCAGAGGGGAACTTTTCTGCTTGCATGGCCACAGATCCTAAGTAATAGCCCTGTTCGTTCTGGTCAGGGTGACCCATATAACGTTCAGTGTAGCCTGTATCATAGAAGATCCACAGAGTGACTGGGGCCCCAGCAATAGCAACCTGCACAGGACAATGGCAGTCAAGTATAGTCCAGAAAAGAATGGCTAGCAATGAGAATTTATAACTATGAATTTACAGGTTAAAATTATTCTAAGGCTTCAGCTCCATGAAAGGGCCATACAAGACCTCAGGCAACTCAGAAAATCAAAATGAAGAGCCAAGGTCAAGAATTTGATACTTTGTGAGTCAACTTCACTTTCCATAGGCATGCTGCACACCAAACTCTTAACCTAGGCCAGCTGAAATATAAACATGGACCCCTTTGTTAAAAAAGGAGAATGAGAGCCTCCTTGTGGCGCAGGCAGTTGAACACAGCCCTGTGAAGCTGTCCACAGCCTTTGCAGCGTGGGTTCGATCCCAGCCGGCTGGCGAGATCCCACATGGTGCGGCAGACTTCTCCTGTCTCGCCCGCTGCTCCCCTCAGCAGTGTATTTCAGTCAGTCTGCCTGTTCTGTTCCCCACTCTGTCTTTGGTGAATACTCTCACCCTCCCACACATCTGGTCTGTACCTCAGTTCTTGTATAAATAAATAAATCTAAAAAAAAAAAAAAAAAGGAGAATAATATAGAACATATGAATGCCTCAGTGTAACTCATTACTGCTACTAGGGGAAGAAATGTGTGAGTAATGTCAGTTTTATGTTTAAAAAAAAGTCACTTTTTTTTAAGCACAGAATTTAAAACAATGAATGAATTGTAAATAAGCACTGTACACTTGTCTCATTTGAGGCTTCTACATACGGTTTTATATTTAAATATTTTAGTATTTTCTCAATAGCTGCAAACCTATTTATGTCAGTTTTCAGGGTTAGGTTTGTGGTTATAAATAAAGACTACCTGAATATAAAAAAATGCTATTATTTTTATCTTTTTTTTTAACAGATTTATTTATTTATGCATACAAGAGCTGGGGTACAGGCCAGAGGTGTGGGGGGTGAGAGGATTCACCAGAGACAGAGTGGGGAACAGAACAGGTGGACTGACTGAAATACACTGCTGAGGGGAGCAGTGGGAGAGTCAGGAGAGGTCTGCTGTGCCATGTGGGCTGCTCCCTGGCTGGTCGGGGATCGAACTCGCGCTGCAGAGGCTTCATAGGTTGCGTCTCAAACCCTTGCACCACCAGGGAGGCCCTTACTTTTATTCTTAAATAAAAATTATTCTTCACTGTAAAATAAAGTTACCAAAACACGCAAAAAAAACACCCTAGCCATATTCCTGCTCCCTTAACAAGTTAGCATCTTTACATATTTTCTTTTAGCTTTTGTAAGAGATTGTTTACATAATTGTAACCATCATTTACATATTTAATAATTTATTCATTCAACACTGATTTACTTAGGACTTACCATATGCTAAGCATTGTGCTTGGCTACTGAGGATATGGTGACGTAAGGCAGGCTGCCCTCAGTTTGCAGTCCCAAAATTAAAGAAATAATTATAATCTGATATATGTATGTGCATGTGTTTTGCTAATCATGACCATTCACCATAATATTTGGCATATGTCTTATAACCAACAACTAGTCATCAAGCTAATACGTGTTTTGCAGATAGTTATAGATATATAAGGATATATCTCACAAGTTCAAAAGATATAACTATTATCTCACATGGCTACTAAACACATAAATCCTAACATTTCACAATACTTCCAACTCTACAACCTTGCAGAAAATCAGCATTTTCTCATATCTTTAAATTTACAGAAAATTCTCCTAATGCAAAATGAGTAAAATAGGAAGTCACATACCCTGAAGATATCTGATCTCTGCATTAATGCCATGAGGGAAAGGTATCCTCCATAGGACCAGCCATGAATGCCCACACGATCTAAGTCAATGAAATCATATTGGGAGGCTAGATATTGGAGTCCTTCCACCTGATCATCAATTTCTATTTGACCCTGTCAAAAAAAGGGGAAAATATTTCACTGAGTTTGATGTGCGTTAAGAGTGCTTAAAGATAAATGTTTTTACTAAAAATACCTATAGTTTTTTTATATTAGATTCTGTTGTCCGAAAAAGTTTAGCTCTATTTTGAGATAGAGGGCTGTTGCTTATTTTGCTAGCCTGTCCTAGTGCTAACCCTTTGTCATAAAGCTTTTTCCTGTTGTGACCCAAATTGCCCCTTGTCACATGGGTATTTCCCATTTTCATTTGTTCTGTTGTCTGCTAAGAGGCCAGCATCTTCCTTGTAACAAGCCTTCCTATACCCAAAGGCAAAAAAATTTAGCTCTTTAGTGGTTGACTAATTTTACTTCTCCTTTTTAAAATTTAGTGCAGTAAAGCAGAAAGAATTATCTTGAGGCTTTATCCTATTTTCTCATCATTTACCTCTAGGAACTGAATATACTATTTCTTTTAAATCCTAACTCCTGCCACCACCACCCTATCTATATTACTAGGCCTGCCAGTGCACTCACACTCACTTCACTGATCTAAAAACAAAAATAAAAACAAAACCAAAAAAAAACTTACATGAGAATACAACATAAGGTCAAAGAACTGGCTGTGGGAGAAAATCCCCATGTCTTACTCAGCATGTCCAATACACTGGCAAACACAGTAACTGCCTTACTGTGTAAAAGGAACATCGGATTCTCATCATTTCCCAAAGCAGCAGAAAGGACATGGGGCATCTCTAAAAGGTAGCATTTAAAGCTTCCTGTAGAGAGAAAGAGGCTTGTCACAAGGAAGGCACTAACCAGTTGGTTTCTCTCTTCACAGAGGACAGAACAAATCTCAATTATTCCTCTCAGTAGTATATAGGATGCTGGAAACTAAATGGTGCAACTTTCTGGCTAAGTTGGACACAGGAAATAAAAAGAGATGATTATTTCTACGTAAAGGTGGTTCTATCTCATCTCCACAAAGTTACATATAGGTAGACATGAATAGTAAGTTGCATCTTCCCTCCCACCCCTAATAGCTATCTCTCTCTCTCTCTCTCTCTCTCTCTCTCTCATTCTTTCTCTCATTAACTCATAGCCCCTTGCCCCAACTCTCCCTCTCTGGGATTTCACACCTAACAGTGCACCAGAATATGTAAAAGTCTTTAAAAGAAAAATGTTTGTATGTTCACACACCATTTTATATTTAAAGGCGCCTTCAAATTTAAGCCCTCGGTGACAGGATCCCCTGTTGTCTATCACTACAACCACATAGCCTAGAGAGGCTAGAGTATTCAAGCGGAAATACTTGACTCCTTTAAACCGATTATTCACCAACTGCACCTGAAAAGAAATACAACCTCAGTGAAATTTATTATATAGTAGCATGCAAAAGCAAAAAGGAAGTAAGATGCTGTGAAAAGCAGAAAGCCTGTTGTTTTTTAAATCATTCTGCTTTAAAGTGAAATTTTATTTTCTTGTGGTAAGAACATTTAACATGAGATCTACCATCTTAACAAAGTTCAGGTTACAATACAGTATATTAACTGTAAGACAATGTTCTACTATAGGTCTGTAGCATTTATTTACCTTGCATAATTGGGACATAATTTATGCCCACTGATGAGCAACTCCATTTCCTCCTCCCTGATTTATTTTTAAATTATCTTAAATATTTTCATGTTTATGTTTGCTTCTTTTCTTTCTTAGCTTCACTTACAAGGTTCAGGGCAATTACTGAGCAACTACAGACTTTAAAACTATAACACAGACTTTTTGAAGAAATGCCTCGTTGTTTTCCATAGTGACTATACCATTTTACATTCTCACTAGCAATGCACCAGAATTCTGATTTCTCCACATCCTTGCCAACATTTCTTATTCCATCCCCCTCTTTTTTTGATAATAGCCATCCTAATGGCTATGAAATTTTATCTTATATATCATTATATCTTATATATAAAATGTTTTATTGTGGTGTGACTTGCATTTCCGTAATGATTAAAAATAGTGAGTATCTTCTATGTGGCTTCACCTTTTAAACTTAATTACTGATATAAGGAGTCTTTTAGTCTTAAAAGCTAAATAACTAGCTAGTTTATATAGTGTTTTTCACATATCTCATATAACATTTCTTCATTGACAAGGAGAAATACTCTCTTTATTTAGACTTTTAAAAAAGATTTTATTATTTGTTTTTTAAAAAATATTTATTTTATTTATATAAAACCAGGGTATAGGCCAGATGTGCAGGAGGGTGAGAGGATTCACCAGAGACAGAGCGGGGAGCAGAACAGGCAGACAGACTGAAATACACTGCTGAGGGGAGCAGCGGGCAAGACAGGAGAGGTCTGCTGCCCCATGTGGGTTTCTCCGAGGCCAGAGGGGACTGAACTGGCACTGCAGAGGCTGCGGACAGCTTCATAGCGCTGCGCTCAACCGCCTGCACCACCAGGGAGACCCCATTATTTATTTTTGCATAGAAAAACTGGGGTACAGGTCAGAGGTGCAGGGGTGAGGAGTGATGAGAGGATTCACCAGAGACAGTGACAGAGTGGGGAGCAGAACAGGCAGATCAGAGCCTCCCTGGTGGCGCAGGGGTTAAAGACAGTGCTATCAAGCTACTGCCAGCCACTATAGCAGGAGTTCGATCCCCGGCTAACCACAGAGGTGACCCACATGGCATAGCAGACCTCTCCTGACTCGCCCACTGCTCCTCTCAACAGGAGAGGAGCAGTCAATCCACCTGTTCTGTTCCCCATTCTTTATCTGGTGGGTCTTCTCACCCCCTGCACCTCTGGCCTGTAGCCCAGTTCTTGTATGCACAAATAAATAAATAAATCTTAAAAAAAAAAAGAAAAAAGAAACAGGCAGATCAACTGAAATACACTGCTGAGGGGAACAGCAGGAGAAACAGGAGAGTTCTGCTGCACCTAACAGGTCTGGTTAGCTCCCTGGCTAGGGACAGAACTCACGCTGTCACAGTGATAGTGCTGAAACTTAACCCCTAGGCCACCAGGGAGGCCCTTACTTAGCTTTAATATCAAAATAATAAAACATGTAAAGCTTCTGAGAATGTCCTGTAATTTTTCTGTTGAATTTCTTTATATTAGTTTTCCTGTTTTAAATTTACAAAATCTTGGCTTCAAGTTTCTAAAGGAAGCCTCACTTAACTCTTTCATGATTTGTGTGTAGATGACTATAGTATAACTGTGAGTCTTGTTTTGTTTGTAGAACATACTTAACAATGGCAAAGTAGTTAACTAAATATAAAATTTTCATCCTAAGATTGTATGACATACAGTTATTTTACTTTAATTTTTTGGGTGACTTAGCCTCTAGATACTAAATAACTGGGAATAATTATAAATATTATTTACTAAGTATTATAAAATCAGTATAGTTATATTCTAATTTTTTCAAGGGCTCATTGTAAGGTAAATAATAAAAAAATATTAATAAAACTACCAGTTAATAAAAACACTTTACTCCAAAAGTCAATACAACTTACTTAATATTAATAATACTCACATCCAGAAAAAGGAAAGTCAAGGTGTAAACTTCATACAGTGCTGAACAGTAGGATAGCAGTTGGTTTAAGTAGCTGATAAAAATATTATAGTTTGAGATATAGTTGTAGATGAAGAGGGGGAATTCATTGGGCTATCAAGGTATCCTGAAAATTTGTTAAGACTTTATTTACCAAGACATTTAATTACCTTATTTCATTTCCCAAACAATTCTCTACATAGACACCTGATGTGAATATTCCATATCCCATGAAAGATGCAGTCCTCATTGTAAATTAAGAAATTGATTTACTGATTTACAAATTAGTCGTCTAACTGAAAAAATGCTCATCATCACTTATCACCCAGGAAATACAAAATCAAAACCACTATGAGATACTACCTCACTCCTGTGATAATGGTCCACATCAAAAAAGACCAGAAACACCAAGTGGTGGTGAGGATGTGGAGAAAAGGGAACCCTCTTATACCATTGGTAGGACTGTAGACTAATTCAGCCTCTATGGAAAGCACTATGGCCATTTCTCAAAATATTAAAAATAGATCTATTATATGATCCAGCAATTCCACTCTTGGTCATATACCTAAAGAACACAAAAACACTAATTTGAAGAGACATATACTCCTATGTTCATTGCAGCACTGTTCACAATAGCCAAGTTATAGGAACAACTTAAGTGCAAGGACAGATGAGTGGATTAGGAAGATGTGGTATATAAACACAATGGAATACTACTTAGCTATAAAAAAAGATGAAGTTGGCATTTGCAACAACATGGGTGGAAATGGAGGGGATAATGCTAAGTGAGATAATTCAGAAGGAGAAAGACAAATATCAGATGGTTTTACTTACATGTGGAATATAGAGAAACAAAAAAAAGGGTCAAACAGAACTAAATCAGTAACAAACCCTAGAAGCCTCATTATAAAGTTGAGGTTGCCAGAAGGAGAGGAGTGAAGGTGGAGAGCAGGGTGTAGAGGGGGCCCAAGGGACTATGGTGAAGGATTATGGGTACCTTGGTGGTAGGTGTGGTGTGGTAACATACATCTGAAGAGGTGTGATCCTATACCTCTGAGTCATAGTGTTGTAAATCAATGTTACCTCAATTAAAAAAAAATTTAAATGTTAAAAGTTTAACAAAATCTGTTAACCCAGACTACTATATCTAGTGAAAATATCTTTTAAAAGGGGGAAGAAAAAAGACATATTCAAATTAAAAAAACAAAACAAAACCCAATTTCCTAAACTCCTAGACTGGATAATCAGAACATAAACCAGAGTCAGTAACAGCAGAGGCCCAACTAGACTGTAATCTTAAATCAATTGACTAGACATTTAAGAAACAAATCACCTACAATAAGTATATTCCTATGTAGGAATATAAATATGCCCACCTGAGGACCACCATATATGAACAGCACAGTGGGGTATTTCTTTCCAGGTTGTAGATCATGAGGTTTGTATAGCATCCCATACAATGTGAATCCAGTAGTACTTTCAAAAGAGAAAATTTCTGGAGGGGTATAGTCAGGAAGAGGACCTGCGAGAAGATAACATGTAGAGTCTGTAAAAGGAATTCTTATGGAGTCTTAATCTTACCTAGATTTTAAGACTAAAGAGCTCTACAACCTGAGTGCAAGGAAGAAGATAAACTCACAAGCCGAAGCACAAATAACTGACCATTCGCCTAAACGAATCTAAGCCATTGTTACTGGTTTAGTTCTGTCCGACCCTTTGGCAAACAAGAAATTAAACAAGAACATTTACATTTAATAAAGAAAATCTAATGAATATGTCAAATTACCTATTTTAGGAGCAGACACATAATACTGATAGGGATTTACATGCGTAAGTGTACAAATACTTTGTGTTCAGTTCAATATACCCTACTAATGTTTAAGCCATGTATCTGATTAGAAACTGGAAGCACTAATTTAACTTAGTTAACTTGTTCATGGCAGGTACTCAATAAATATTTATTTCTGATCATTAGAGAACAAACTTAATCAGAATCCAGAAAAACAGAAAGTCATGATCAGTCATTGGTTTACCACGTTATATGGGCCTTTCCTAAGTGTGTACACTCAATTTTACAGTTCTGTTGTCTTTTGGTATGCTTTAAGCAACCTATTTTTAAGCAGTAGGCTTCAAAGAAAAATTTTTGATCCTTAAAATGCAGTTATTCGTGATACAATTAGTAGTAATCAACTTTCCCAAGCCTAACTGTAAGGCAACAGATAAACTTTCATTGATTTCTTAAATTCTTTTTTGCAAAGGGACTATTTGCAAAAGAGTTCAGATATTCTATAAAAACCACCTGGTAGTTTCCTAACCAACTGATTATATTCTTTGTTGTACAATAAATCACCATCTTTCAGCAAGCAAAACATTAAATTTGAATAAAGATACAATCCATGAATTAGGACACAATTAAAAGTTTACTTTAAATATTTTTTGGAGAGGGGACACCACCCTTCTATTTAATTAAGAGGAACATTGTCATAGTCCAGAGATTTTTTTATTTGTTTTTCACACTTATCATGCCATGAATTCCTAGGGAATGGGCTCCAGCAGCGCAGGCTCCTTTCCATTGCTTCTCACAAAGCTTGCCTCTCTGGGTGGGGCAGGCTGGAGATTCTGCTGAACCCAAGTACCTTTCTCTTTGGCTTCCTTTTTTTTTTTCCCTGATCATTTTCTTTCACCCATTTCAGGAAGCTATCTAGGTCGGTTCTTAAGAGTGCTTAATATGCTCAATACGAACATTAATTCTCTTGGCAAGAATCTTGCCCTTGTTTGTTACAATGCCAACTATATGCTGGGTAACATTATCAACTCTTCCAGTTTTGACATGGTAACATTTGTGAGGCTTCCTTTTTGAATAGTGCCCATCCTCTTATGGCCTACAATATCACCTTTCTTGTATTAGATTCACATGTATGTGACCAAAGGAACAACCCCATGTTTTCTAGAAGGCCTAGTCTACAAATAGTGGGTGCCTCTCCTCTTTCCCTTTGTGTTGGTCATTTTGGAAACCTACTAGAAGGTGGCAGTTCTGGCCAAAAAGATGATTTTACCGATTAAGCAGAAATCATCATCATATTATAAATTTTATATATTATAATTCAAAATATTATAAAATCGGGCCTCCCCGGTGGCGCAGCGGTTGAGCGCTGGGTTGCGAAGCAGCCCGCGGCCTCTGAGGCGCCGGTTCGATCCCCAGCTGCTCCCCAGCCACCGGAGGAGGGTCCCACATGGTGCGCAGACCTCTCCTGCCGCCCGCTGCTCCCCTCAGCAGTGTACTTCGGTCCTTCTGCCTGCTCTGCTCCCCGCTCTGGCTCTGGTGAATTCTCTCACCCTCCCGCGTTTCTGACTGTACCCAGTGCTTGTATAAATAAATAAATAAATAATCTTAAAAAAAAAAAAAATTACTAAAAAAAAAAAAACAAAATATTATAAAATCATCATATTATAAAATTTAATGTGGACATTAAAACATACCTACATCCTCTGTGGTCTAGCACTAATACTTTAGTCCTTTATTAGATACTGAATGAAAATACTTAACAGGCAAAAGAATTTGGGGATAAAGTAGATTAATAGAAACATAAAATTACTCCACCTTAAGAAATCAAGCAATTTAAAAATAGATAATTCATAGTGCTCTTCAATTCCACACAGAACAGAGTTCTATCTTATTAAGATGGCCAATGTAAGTGATTAAAAGTTTAAGAATGTTACTTGTTGGTTATTCCCTAAAGTTGCAACTTCCCTGTTCAAAAGGTCTTACTAGTTTTTTTGTTTTTTTTTTTTATAGAGGCATGGTTATTTATTTATTTGTTTTGTTTATACATGCACTTGGTACAGTCAGAAGCGTGGGAGGGTGAGAGAATTCACCAGAGCCCAGCGGGGAGCAGAGCAGGCAGAAGGACCGAAGTACACTGCTGAGGGGAGCAGCGGGAGGCAGGAGAGGTCTGCGCGCCATGTGGGACCCTCCTCCAGTGGCAGGGGGGGCAGCCGGGGATCGAACCGGCGCCGCAGAGGCCACGGGCAGCTTCCCAACCCAGCGCTCAACCGCTGCGCCACTGGGGAGGCCCAAGGTCTTACTAGTTTAATATAAATTATCTTCAACTTATCTGATTAACTGGGAAATGATCTGAAAGTGTGAATAAATCATTTCCTAAGCTGGTATCTTGTTTATTTTCAAACAGTCCCAAAAGATCTGCTCCTGACTAGAGTAGAGGGTAACCTATCTTATTCTGTCGCTGAGAGAATAAAAGGGATGAAATCAATCAAGAACCCAGCAGCTAAGGGACAGGCAGTGGTGACAGATGGTAAGACTGTGCACAGGACACATTAGTGCCTGTTTAGTTTAATATACTATTTCTACTTAAGATCGGTCCAGGGAAATGAGTACCTGCTGAATCCAAAATGGTGGCCCAGAATTCCTTTGTCTTGCAAGTTGGGTCATCTTCAGGACTTGTGAGCTTGTAAAGGGACACACAGTGTGGATTCTTCTGGTTACTATACTTGCTTATAAAGAAGTCACAGTACTAGAAAAAGGAAAAGATAATTATTATCCAGGAAAAAAGGAAAAAGGTTATCTGTTGATACATCGCCATTAAAGCTACAGCAGGAACATGAGAGTTTGACCTTTTATGTACACATACAATGCCAAATTAAGGCTAAGTTTTTATTTTTTTAAATTTTTAAAAAGATTTTATTTTATTTATACAAGAACCGAGGTACAGGACAGATACGCAGGAGGGTGAGAGTATTCACCAGAGTCAGAGCAGGGAACAGAACAGGCAGACTGACATGAAATACACTGCTAAGGGGAGCGGCAGGCGAAACAGGAGAGTTCTGCTTGCCATGTGGGTTGCTCCAAGGCCAGCGGGGATTGAATTGGCACTGCAGAGGCTGCGGACAGCTTCACAGTGCTGCGCTCAACCGCCTGCATCACCAGGGAGGCCCCAAGGCTAAGTTTTTAAAAGCTTTTTGTAAGAGAACCAGACTTTTGCACGTCAACTTCACAAATTTTTATGTTAGTGAAAAGAAATCTTATATGATCACAAGACTTTTTACATGACAAGACATTCTTTTGAAACAGGACTTCATACCTGGCTGATGCAGCAAGAGTGGGAATAGCCACGGTCTGTCAGCCTTGTCACCTCTCCAGGACTTACATAACTAACCACATACAGGTGATGTTCTAAAGGGGAGTCTTTGGTGCCTTCAAAATAAACCAGTTTTCTGACTTCATCAACCTGGATCTGCCAAAATAGCCAAAAAAATTGTGCTTAGTAAGAGTAGTAATTCAACAAACAACCCCCAATTTTATTCAGAATCATTTGTCACCCTTAGATTTGTGCTTCTTTTAAAAAATTTTCCCACCCTTTTTACTAAACCTGAGTTGGTTTTTTTTTTTTTTATTGTTAAGATTTATTTATTTATTTATGCAAGCACCGGGTACAGTCAGAAGCACGGGAGGGTGAGAGAACTCACCAGAGCCAGAGCAGGGAGCAGAGCAGGCAGAAGGACTGAAGTACACTGCTGAGGGGAGCAGCGGGAGGCAGGAGAGGTCTGCGCACCATGTGGGACCCTCCTCTGGTGGCCGGGGAGCAGCCGGGGATCTAACCGACGCTGCAGAGGCTGCGGGCAGCTTCGCAACCCAGCGCTCAACTGCTGCGCCACCGGGGAGGCCCTGGTTTTGTTTAGGACTTAAAGCTTAAGAATGGACCCTACTTCGAAGGAAAATGAACACCTGAGTCGCATGCTGTTGGTAGTTTCCTCTTAGTTAGAATGTGTGCTTTTCTTAAAAGACACAAATTATTAAAATGATAACCTATTACAGGGAAAAACTGTATATGGCAGTGTATTTATTTATTTAAAAAAATTTATTTATGTATATAAGAGCTGGGGTACAGGCCAGAGATGCGGGGAGTGAGAGGATTCACCAGAGGCAGAGTGGGGAACAGAACAGGCAGACTGACTGAAGTACACTGCTGAGGGGAGTAGCGGGTGAGTCAGGAGAGGTCTGCTGTGCCATGTGGGTTGCTCCCTGGCTGGCCGGGGATCGAACTCGTGCTGCAGAGACTGTGGATTGCTTCATAGTGTGGTGCTTAACCCTTTGTGCCACCAGGGAGGCCCTGTATACAGCAGTTTATACAATGTTTTGTGCCTTTTTAAAAGAGTCTAATTTTAACCTCTTTTTTTTTTTTAATAGAGGCATGTTTTATTTATTTATTTATTTGTTTGTTTGTTTTTGTTTATACATGCACTGGGTACAGTCAGAAGCGCGGGAGGGTGAGAGAATTCACCAGAGCCAGAGCGGGGAGCAGAGCAGGCAGAAGGACAGAAGTACACTACTGAGGGGAGCAGCGGGCGGCAGGAGAGGTCTGCGCGCCATGTGGGACCCTCCTCCGGTGGCCGGGGAGCAGCCGGGGATCGAACCGGCGCCGCAGTGGCCGCGGCAGCTTCGCAACCCAGCGCTCAACCGCTGCGCCACCGGGGAGGCCCTAATTTTAACCTCTTATATAATTTTCAGTGCAATTTTATCTTAGGCAGTACTTTTCTTGTCTTTTTAAAAATTTACAGAAGTATTTTATTTATTGGTTGGGGAATACTGATCTCAATTACAAGTTTTAATACTAGTATAGTTCATAAATAGTATGGAGAAGATCTTTTAAGTCTTCATTCAGAACTCAAAAAAATACCTGCAAGTAAACTCATAGCTGAATTCACTTGGCATTCTTCCCAAATTACAATAAAATGTTAAACAAATGACTTCCTTTTACCATTTAAAAAAAATATTTTACCAGCCTATTTAAACAATGTTAAATTCAAAGCTTTTTACACAGCAGAGAAAATACTATAAGCAAGTATTTTTAAATGCCACATTTTCTCCAGAAAGCCTTTTCTTCATCTTTAAACATATTTTTTAGCACACCAAGATACAGAACTAAACACAGTTGAGATTTAACTAGGACCAGATGACATACATAGGAAGGATACAAGTGACGGTAAACAAACATTCATGAGGTTTCACAGGTACATATTAATCTCTGAAAAGGTTAGGACTGGTTTTGTTCCTGACTTAGCAGCTGGGAGTCAGGTCTTTCAAAATATAAGAAATAACTGGTTAATTTCTCACTCCTGTCTATAATGGTTAGTTTTCTTCATTTCATGTAATTGCTTCATTCAACAGAAATATCAAAACCACCTGAGGGGCTTATTAAACAGATTGCTGGGTCCAACCACCAGAGTTTCTGGGGTAGACCTGAGACTTTGCATTTTTAAAGGGTTCTCAGGTGATGCTGATGCTTTGGTATTGGTCAAGGGACTACAATGAGCTTAAAATTGTTTAAAGCTTCATCCAATTACCACCTTTAGATATCTTTTGATGGGAACAAAGTCAGTGACAATTATATTCAAGGTCCCTGCCATAGCAATTTATAAGAAATAAATATTTTGTTCATTCAGGTCACCAAAATAGCTTTCTCCTACACATTTGTTCTTCATCCAGCACTGGTTTATAGCTTTTCAAAGTCTTGGGATTTCCTAAGTGCAGTGAGTGATAAAGGTATCTCTGCTATATTAATGCCAGCAACTTTTGAAAAACACCCAAGGAATGTTCCTGATTACCAGGGCAACCAACTTGAATAGAGAGTTGGATCATCCAGTCCAACTCCCCTGATCTCCAGGGAGGTGAGAAGAGGAGCTAAAGATTGAGTTCAACTGCCAATGGTCAGTGATTTAATCAACAATGCCTATGTGATGAAGCCTCCATATAAGCCCAAAAAGGAGAGGCTCTGCAGAGTAAACATGTAAAATTCATGTAACTATGGTGAACACGGAAAGACTGGGTGGGGGTGGGGGGTGGGGGATTGGCTCCTTTACCTGGCCCTATAAATTTCTTTCAGTTGGTTGTTGATTCATATCCTTTAGTATTCTTTGCAATAAATAGGTGATCTAGTGAGTAAATGAGTTTCCTAAGTTCTGTGTACCGCTCTAGCAAATTAATCAAACCAGAGATGTGTGTCCTAGAAATCTCTGATTTATAGCCAGTTGGTCAGAATTACAGATAACAAATTAGTCTTGCAACAGGCACCTGAAGTCTGGAGGTGATGGTAACTTCCCATTTGTAGCCAGTTGGTCAGAAGCCTGGGTGACCAAGTGGGGCTTATAGTAGGCCTCTGAAGTGGAGGGTGATCTTGGGAGACTAAGTCCTTAAACCTATAGAATCTGATATTATCTCCAAATAGATAATGTCAGAATTGAGTTGCATTCTCAGACACCCTGCTGATTTTCAAGAATGGCTTTATTGGTGTAGGGAGGTCTACCCACACCACACTGAAAACTATCTCAGAGACACTAAAATGCACTCCCGGAACAGAGAAAAATATACTTGGATACATAACCAGAAGGCCATGTAAGGCTCTCAGGGGAAATTAGACTTTAAATATTGCCTATTATAATTACATTCTCAAAATTTTACTAACAAAAACAAACCTAGAAAAAACAAACAAACAAAAAAAAACAAACCTAGGGCCTGGATCTTCATTCTTTCGCTTTAATCACCTTGGGGACTATAAGTGACTTCTATAGTAGTCAGTATCTATAATCCATCAATAATATCCTTGTCAATTTGAGGAACTCACAGGCCTTCATTAAATCCTGGTGGCATACTCAATTGTATGTGTCACACATATAAAAGATGGAGTTCTTAGAGATCTCATGAAATTGACCACCTAACTGAAAGTTGAAACAAATACATGGTACTATGAAAAGCAGGGAAAAAATTAGAAATCATTGGATTGCTATAGAAAAATCACATTCTGAGAACAAAACTGAGGGTGGATTTCTTCATCTTCTCTATCAATCTACACTATATATATATGAACTGCAGGTCATCCCCTTCTGAAGGTGGGGGATGAAATTAAATTTGTGAGGTAAGATGAACAGGTGAATGAAATAGAATCCGCAAATCAGAAGTAGTAAATAAATTTCTAAAATAGTGTGGACAGGAGTTGTCTATAAGAGACTTAAAAATAATTTTCAAACTATAGTCTAATAACTTTTACTAGACTCAAAAGTATGGACTAGCCCTTATTAAAACAGTATATTAAAAATGGTGAACTTTAATAACCAGAACATCTAATACTAGAGTTATAAAATGGGTTAGATTTTAATTTAAACTAATTCTTCCTTTCCAACAACTTGAGTTCTTTCAGGCCCTCACTTAATATTTTCAAAACACTGCTCTTTTGCACTGCTGATTTTTAGTATGCATACACACCACAGATTTTGAGCAAATATGTTAGTAGAAAGAAAGAACATACATTGGATCCATGCCGGCCAAGTACTTCCCATTCACCACTGGTAATTGCTATTTCTTCTTTGATAGGGCACTTGAAATCACCTAAAGAAAAATATAGTTATAATTTAGCACTTTATGCAAGATTATAATCAAATGCAACAATGAATAATAATATTCTAAACTCTTTTTTTCCACAAAGATACATTAAAAAGTTCAAGCTATGTCTGGGCGAATGAAAATATTTGCAACTATATAGATATAATGGTTACATTATTTGTAAATGTATTAATGTGACTGAATTATTCATTTTAAAATGGCTAATGTTATATGAATTTCACCTTAATTTTAAAAAAAGTCTACAGTTAAAAAAATGCCAACTTATGAGTTTTCACAATAATCTGGAATAATGATAGAATGATTCATGTAAATAGTGGGGGAAAAAGCAAAATAGATTTATAGCAAAGCCAGAAAAGAACTCACAAGCACTTGCATCCCCAGACCTTTGGTTAGACGAAGAAGTCTAATGGATTGACAAGGTATTTCTTGTAAATAAAACAAACTATTTTATTTTTTTTAAAGATTTATTTATTTATGCATACAAGAACTGGGGTACAGGCCAGAGGTGTGGGGGGTGAAAGAATTCACTAGAGACAGAGTGGTGAGCAGAACAGGCAGAATGACTGAAATACACTGCTGAGGGGAGCAGCAGGCGAGGCAGGAGAGGTCTGCCGCGCCATGTGGGTAACTCCCTGGCCGGGGATGAAACTCATGCTGCAGTGACTGTGGATACTTCATAGGGTGCATCTCACTCAACCCCTTGCACCACCAGGGAGGCCCCAAAACAAACTACTTTGAAAAGTCACAGAAGAAAAAAAATTTAATACAATTATTCTTAATTTGCCATAAAAACTGTGCATTACCATAATAAATACCAATATGCCCCATTTGTCTTTATGAGATCCTGTCTTAGTAGATGAAATTCTCAGTAGCCTGAGGAGGAGGTTAAAAGCTGGAGACCATTTGTTTTTGTCTAGCTGCTCCTAGTTATGGCTGTACAGAGTGACAGTTGAGGAAAGGCTGAGATGGTGAAGGGTCTTAACTAAGGTTCTGCTCATTAAAAAAAAAAAAAAAAAAAAAACTTATTTTCTTTTTCTTAGATACAAAAGTACAACTTAGTAGTTAAAAATTTGTGGTCAGGGCCTCCCTGGTGGCGCAGCGGTTGAGCGCTGGGTTGCGAAGCTGCCAGCAGCCTCTGTAGCGCCGGTTCGATCCCCGGCTGCTCCCCAGCCACCGGAGGAGGGTCCCACATGGCGCGCAGACCTCTCCTGCCGCCCGCTGCTCCCCTCAGCAGTGTACTTTGGTCCTTCTGCCTGCTCTGCTCCCCGCTCTGGCTCTGGTGAATTCTCTCACCCTCCCGCGCTTCTGACTGTACCCAGTGCATGTATAAACAAAGAAACAAACAAATAAATAAATAAATAAAAACATGCCTCTATAAAAAAAAAAAAGGATTTAAAAAAATAAATAAATAAAAATAGCTTTTTAAATCTGAAAATAACTTGGGTTCATTTTAATTAAAAATTACAGTAAAGGGCCTTCTTGGTGGCACAGGAGTTAAAAACACAGCACTATCAAGCTGTTGCCAGCCACTGCAGCACAAGTTTGATTCCCAGCCTGCCAGGGAGCAACCCACATGGCACAGCAGACCTCTCCTGCCTTGCCTCATGCTCCCCTCAGCAATGCTGCCTGTTCTGCTCCCCACTCTCTCTGGTGAATCCTCTCACCCCCCTCATATCTGGTCTACACCCCAGGTCTTGTATGCATAATGTTTTTTTAAAAAATTATAGTAAATGGGCCTTCCCGGTGGCGCAGCGATTGAGTGCTGGGTTGCGAAGCTGCCCGCAGCCTCTGCAGCGCTGGTTCAATCCCCAGCTGCTCCCCAGCCACCAGAGGAGGGTCCCACATGGCGTGCAGACCTCTCCTGCTGCCCGCTGCTCCCCTCAGCAGTGTGCTTCGGTCCCTCTGCCTGCTCTGCTCCCCGCTCTGGCTCTGGTGAATTCTCTCACCCTCTTGCACTTCTGACTGTACCCAGTGCTTGTATAAATAAATAAATAAATCTTAAATAAAAGACCTGCAAAAGCCACTTTTACGGCAAAGGTAAAAGTTGAAAGGAAAAGTCATTTTTCCACCCAGATTACTCATTAAAAGTTTATTATAAATCTATATAGAACTACATATATAGCTAATATTACATATCCCATCAAGACCTTTGCCTTTGATTTTTACACATGCAAGTATTTAAATTTATGTATTAATTTTAAATAAGTATTGATATTTACTAAGTATATAAAAGAGACATTCCATTACCCTTCCCCTCCCACCTACTGTTCAACATTTTTTCTTTTTTAAGTAAAAAATTATTTCTTACTTGGGGCAGGCAACCCACCACTTGATCGTTTATATTTGCTCTCCTTTAAAATGGATGTAATTTTATATAAATGACGGAAACCTGTTTTGCATTCAGAGGCAAAAATAAACTCAATTTCATCTTCATGACTTTGGGGAAAAACATGAAAGATGTCATGGATCTGTAAAATGAATAGCTTAATTTACTATACATATTAATGAAAATACCACACAAACAATTCAAAGAATAGCTTGATAAGCATACTCTGAAATATAAATAACTACCAACGCTAAGGGGTATGGTACATTTGGAATTACAGATTTTGCCTCAGACTTTCAGATTTATCTTACTTTAGCCAAAGAACTCATCCATTGAGAAATAAATGTCTCCAAATGGAGAAAAAAGGAAAATGTGACCAAAAGCTCTTTCTTGCTCACAATCTCTGCAATCCTTTGAAACACAGTTGAGGTTTGTTTAATGATACAAATCTTATGACAGAAATGATGCAATTTTATTTTTTTACTTTTCTTTTCCAATGAGAAATATTCTAACAGTAGAAGGGAAAACAGATGTTCATCTGCTTTAAGAGCATCATATGAACCTTATGTTCAGCCAGAGTAAGTTGGTTTTCTTTTCTTTTATTTTGTTAAATTGGAAATTGCATAATTCAATCCAATATTTTGGTAGTTTACCAACTTAAAAATGAAAGTCTCCTAGACAGAACTTTTGTGGTTCTCTCAGAGGCACTGATGAGGCTGTGTATTCAAAATCTCATGTGTTCAGGAACAAGGGCAAATCCACAGCCATTTCAATGGCATCCACTTTCTATCTTACACACCATTCCATGTTGGAACCATCATTCCATTCTGAAATGTTTAAATTAAGCAAATTAATATTCATGGTTACTCGGAAGTTAAAAGAATTCATCTTGATAGTTTGCTATAAAATTTTACATGCTTTAACAGCCTGAGAAAATATTCAACCAAATATATGAAAATAAAACACATACATTTATCCAGATATCTGTTGTTTCTTCATAGATAATCAGTGGGGTAACAGAGTCAGGCACTGATTCAATGAGTCTCTGTCTTTCCATCGCATCATCTTCTACTGGGATAAATAGTTCAGGGGAGATCAACACTATCTGCAGGCGAGTTTGGGAGCGATCTAGTAGGATGGACCAAGCACTATTTAAACAAATAAAAGAAAAGCACCAAAAATAAAGCAATCTCTTAGAAAATACTGTCATTTGGCACTCATCAATTATTTTTATAATCAAAAGGAAAGAATTAACTTAGTATATGTTAAATTATCACTTACAAATGGCTAATTAAAAATACTTGTTTTTTAAAGTTAAGCTTTAATAGTTTTTAAAAGTGGTTTTCTTTAAATTTCTAGAACCATAGATGGCCTCTGAAACTGCTTTCTTACTTTTAGAGTGAACAAATTCTAGCCTTATGAAACTCCTGCTGACTACATTAGACACAGAAACTATTCGTCTTCCTTAATCGCCTTCATAATATTTATGCTTACACAATAAAAAAAAAATATTTACAAGTGAGCCTTAAAGCCATACAACTAAACCACAAATAGAATGAAAATGCAATGCACCTAAGCTTATAGGATTACAAATCCCCAGAGTATACTCAGTTCATAAAAATTCTTTGTGCAGAAATAACTGCATATTTAAATTTATGTGTGAAGGCAGCTCCAACTATAAGGTTAAAATGAACAGACATTTCTAAAGTTTTGGATCCTTCATAGTGGTAAAGAAGTTAACAATTTAACATACGCACTATTTTCCCTCTGGAGTCCATCCAGCTCTGGCAATATATTCAACACCTTCAAACAAAATCTCAAAAGGCTGTATTAGTTCCTTATCAATGACATCTATAATCTATCAAAAAAGAAAAAAAGAATGTAATTATAAAAGACATAAACATGTAAGTAGCTTACTAGTCTACCTAAGTCATTATCAATAACAGCATGATAATTTTTCAGGTTTGGGTACTTTAAAAGGCACACAAAGTATAGCAAAACCAACAGGAAGTTGTGGGAATCTTATACAGGAGCTCTTTACACCTAAAAAAGCTGTCACCATAAGAATGAGTTCATAGTTTTCCTATGAATTTACACAAATAGAATACTTGATAATAACTTGTAAATCAAATTTCAATCACTTTAAACTCTAGTATCTAAGAAAAGTAATAGTCCCTTGTTCCCTGTATTTCAGCTTAAAATATTATTTGTGTAACATATTAGTGGTCCTGAGTAAGCCAACTTTTTTCCATTAAAAATCTAGTTGACATAATTAAAACAATTGTTCTTCTGATGGGCAAAGGATCTAAATAGACAATTCTCCAAATGTTGAACACGCACATGAAAAGAAGCCCAATGTCACTAACCATCAAGAAAATGTAAATAAATCAAACCACAATGAGGTACCACTTGAAACTCACTATAATAAATGAGTAAAGTGATAAGAAGTGTTGATTAGGATGTAGAGAAATTGAAAACCTCATACCCTGCTGGTGGGAATACATAATAGTACAACCACTTTGGAAGACAGCTTGGCAGTTCCTCAAAAGGTTAAACATTGAGTTATCACGTGATCCAATAATTCCACTCCTAGGTATATATCCAAGGGGGAAAAAAGAGGTAGGGCCTCCCCGGTGGCACAGCGGGTTAAGCACAGCACTGTGAAGCTGTCCAAAGCCTCTGCAGTGCAGGTTTGGTTCCCAGCCGGCTGGGGACATTCCCACATGGCACAGCAGACCTCTACTGTCGTCCCCTCTGCTCCCCTCAGCAATGCTTTCAGTCCATCTGCCTGTTCTGATCCCGACTCTGTCTCTGGTGAATCCTCTCACTTTCCCGTGCCTCTGGCCTGTACCCCAGCTATTGTATAAATTAAAAAAAAAAAAAAAAAAAAAACCTTTAAAAAAAAAAAAAGGCATATCCACACAAAAACCTGCATGCAAATATTCATGGTAATTTTTTTTTAAGATTTACTTATTTATGCATACAAGAACTGGGGTACAGGCCAAAGGTATGGGGGGTGAGAGATTCACCAGAGACAGAGTGGGGAGCAGAACAGGTAGATGTACTGAAATACACTGTTGAGGGGAGGAGTGGGCGAGTCAGGAAAGGTCTGCTGCGCCATGTGGGTCACTTCCCTGACCAGGGATCGAACTCGTGCCGCTGTGGCTGCGGAGAGCTTCATAGTGCTGTGTCTTAACCTCTTAAGCCACCAGGGAGTTTCATAACTCCCCCATGGTAGTGCTATTGATAATAGTCAAAAAGTTGAAATAACCCAAAAATCCATAACTGATAAGTAGATTTATCAGATAGTAATGGTTCAACATGGATGAATCTTGAAAACATTACACTTAGTTAGAGAAATCAGACTAGTGACTGTATGATTCCATTTATATGAATGTTCAGAATGCGCAAATCTATAGACAAAAGAAAAAAGTGGTTGCCTAGGGCTGGGGGCAAGGAGAGGAGCATGATGACATTGGGAAATGATGACTAAAAGATGTGGGGTTTCTTTTTGGAATGATGAAAATGTTCTAAAATTGTGATGGTTGCAATCATGTAAATATACTAAGTCCTATCTCAATAAAGCTGTTGAAAAAAGCTGAGCAGAGAAGACTGCTTTTAAACTAATCTCATATGCATTCAGCTTATATGCTTATATTTTTGTCTTGTACTGCTGTACAAGAGAAACATAGGATATTTAATGTACCATATATATCTATACAGTACAGAAATACAGAAGGTCACTCATCATCAATACTACCATTTTAAAAACACTGATCAGGAGAAATAACTAAGTCAAAGAGGAAAAACTACTGAAAAGGGTGATAAATATGAACAGCCCCTAGTTCTATCTTGGGAAGCAGCAAAACTCTTCAAAGTAGAAGATGAGGTCAACCTGAAATCATGATCCACAGATGTCTCACAAGTTCAAAGAGTCCAAAAAATATAAAAAGTTGTATCTAAGATTTCTTTTAGACTGACTAGACTAGCTAAATGCCTCAAAGTCAACTGAACATTTTATACTTACCCTTCCTTCTGCATCAATCATGATTTCCGACATCTTAAAAGTGACTTTAGGGTTTGCTGTACCTTTAGAAAGAGACATAAATGAATTAGTAACACATGTCCAAAATTATTCAAACTAACTTTGATAGATCAATCCTCCTTATAGTTAAGTCAGGACTATTATAGAGTTAGGGTTTTACTGCGCAAGACTCTCAGAAGTCCATTTCAAATTTATACTTTTCAGTATAGTATCAAAAAAAAAGGAGAGAGGGCTGAAATATCAAAAGTCAGTTTGAAAAAAAGAAGTCAATTCCACATCACTGAAATGCTATTAATAGCAACATAAGGAAAATTACTAATTAAGAACAAAAATCCCTAAAAAATCTTTATTTCCTAGCAAACACACCTTTTTTATTCATTCTTTGAAGTAACCAGTTTTGTGCACACCCTCAAATAATTTAAAAGGATCAGTCTTTAAAAAATCTACTTCAGGGCTTCCCTGATGGCAAAGAGGTTAAGTCTCAGTGCCATCAAGCTACTGCCAGCCACTGCAGCATGAATTTGATCCCCAGCCAGGAAGCTAACCCATATATGGCATAGCAGACCTCTCCTGTTCACCTGCTGCTCCCCATAGCAGTGTATTTCAGTACATCTGCCTGTTCTGCTCCCCACTCTATCTCTGGTGAATCCTCTCATCCCCAGTACCTCTGACCTATACCCCAGTTCTTGTATGCATAAATAAATAAAAAATCGACTTCAGTGACACTTAAAAACCCATCCATACCAAGGCTGAAAATGACTAATGTTGACTATACATTTGGTTGACAGTAAAGTGAAACTTGTTTGGAAAGGAGAAATGGGTGCTATTTAAATGCCAATGAATACATTACCAGTTTTAGGATAACGGAATGAATCTGCCCTCCTTGTTTCCAACATAGGCGACGTAACATGAATTATTTCCACCTCAGATTCATCATTTTCTTCATAGAGAATTCTAAGAATTTTGTTGCCACTGGGAGCTTAAAAAAATTGAGAATGAAAATTTAGAAGAATTATTCCAAAAAGTAACCGGAACTGACCATTCTTTCTAGCGTTATATTTCCCATAGTGAAAATAATTAATGTACAAAATATGCTTCCTTTTATGTATGAAAATATCACTAGTCTTGCAGTAGAGCAAAGTAAGTTATTGCCAACCCACTTTAACTGGTTAAAGATTATTCATTTTGGGGGCCTCCCTGGTTGCGCAAGGGGTTAAGACACAACCTATGAAGCTCTTCGCAGACTCTGCAGCACAAGTTCAGCCCAGCTGGCCAGGGAGCAACCCACATGGTGCAGCAGACCTCTCCTAACTCACCTGCTGCTTCCCTCAGCAGTGTACTTAGGTCAATCTGCCTATTGTGTTCCCCACTCTGTCTCTGGTGAATCCTCTAACCCCCCACACCTCTGGCCTGTACCCCAGCTCTCATATGCATAAATAAATAAACCTTTAAAAAAAAAAAGTTATTCATTTTGGAAGCAAAAATTGAAAACAGGGCCTCCCCCGTGGCACAGCGGTTGAGCGCTGGGTTGCGAAGCTGACCGCAGCCTCTGTAGCGCCAGTTCGATTCCCGGCCGCCCGCTGCTCCCCTCAGCAGTGTACTTCAGTCCTTCTGCCTGCTCTGCTCCCCGCTCTGGCTCTGGTGAATTCTCTCACCCTTCCGCGCTTCTGACTGTACCCAGTGCTTATATAAATAAATAAATCTTTAAAAAAAAAATATAAAGAAACCATGTCTTGGAAAAAAAAAAAACACAAAAATTGAAAACAATTATGTATTTTATATACATATTTAACTCACGGAAAGCAGTTTTGAAGGATTTCGTTTTGGTCCTTGCATATCTTAAGATACAATTTTTTTTGTTGAAAAATGAATTGTTTAATTATATTTATAATGCTTCTGGTAACAAAATAAATGCTATTTAAAGAGTCTTTTTTTTTCTTTCATTCACTTCAAAATCCATAACTATCTAACAGATAGTTATGGCAAAATGTTTTACATTTTAAAATAAAATGTCCAAATCTAAGACATGACTTAAAAATAAATAACTTTCATGGTCCCTTAGAGAAATGTTCATCCTGCTAGCTGTAATCCATTAGTGGGTCATGAAAATTTATTCATAACCAGCATTTAAAAAAATACAACAGAAAAGGACATATATAACATCAGAATGTATTACACAGAACGATAATAATTGTAAAATTTGTTTTCAGTTTTACATATGCAGTATATATATGTGTATGTGTGTGTGTGTGTGTGTATATATATATATATAAAATGTACTAGGGTCACAATATAAAGCAAATTTCTAATTGGATCATGATCAAAAATTTTGAAGCCACTGCTTTAGAGAGCTGCTTCTCAAGCTTCCAGACAGTAAAATATTATGAATTCACCAAGAAAAAGGAAGACCTTACGCCCTTTCTCTGATCCATTCATAATAATCTGGCCATTTGTTCATACAGATTCTCTAGTCAATCATACATTTTTATATCAGCTCATTAAGGTGTGATTTTTTTTATTCTGCTACCAACATTACCAAGACCAGTTTTAGATTAAAGAATTAACAAAGGAGTAGAACCTGAAGCACTGAACCACGGCATAATTATTTTTATTCACTATGGTGAGAGATACCCTATATATTCTAAATAACCACCGGTCGGATCCAGTGTTCATCACTAAGCATCTACTACCCAGGATTTAGAACCCCCGTCCTTAAATAACTGGTAGTTAAATTTCATACTTTATTTAACCTATATTACTTTGAACCCTCTTACTTGTTTCAGCTTCTGGACACCACCAATAACCAGAATATCTGTCAAATTCTTCTTGAAGAACAAAGGTAGCAACTCCAGCTGATCTGGGATCCTCTTCCATATTGGCTAGCTCTAGACAAACATGAAAGGCAAATTTATCACAGGAAGTTCTCTATTTTTTCTAAATACAAAGCAGAATGATTCTGTTTATTTTTTTTTTTAAAGATGTATTTATTTATGCATACAAGAGCTGGCGTACAGGCCAGAGATGTGGGGGGTGAGAGGATTCACCAGAGACAGAGTGGGGAACAGAACAGACAAACTGACTGAAGTACACTGCTGAGGGGAGCAGTGGGCAAGACAGGAGAGGTTTGCTGTGCCATGTGGGCAGCTCCCGGGCCAGTCAGGGATCGAACACATGCTGCAGAAGCTGCAGACAGCTTCACAGTTCTGTGCCTAACCCCTTACGCCACCAGGGAGGCCCTCATTCTGTTTATTTTGAAGACAGCTATAATGTAGTAATGAACTCTGGAGCCAAAAGGATTGAATTCACACTTGGGTTCTATCATTTACTAACTGTCTGACCTTGGGCATATCACCCTTCTCATTCCACTGTAGTGTGCCACTTGTAAACAGGAACAGGAACCTACTTTATAAGGTTAAGAAATTATTTAATTCACATACAGCACTTGAACAAAGACTGAATCACAGTATGTACTCCAAAAATTTTATTTTCCCATTTAACTAGGATCATAGAAAATAGATACATGTAAATACATATAAAGGGCTATGTCTTATCTCTCTAGTACAGGGAAGAACATCTATTGCCCTAGAATGGATGTTATAGATCATGTAATTCATCATTCCTCCTCCATTCTCTTCCTCCCATCCAACCACAGCAGTTCAGTTTTTGTTTATAACATACTTGAGGGTAAAAAAATAAGCATATTAGCATGTACTAAATGGTATGTACACTGTGATTGTACTTTAATTCATTCCTGTTTATTGCTGAATGGTATTCCAATATATCTACCACAATTATTTGATCCATTCATTTGGGCTGCCTCCAAGTTTTGGCTATAGTGAATAAATACGCTATTATCATTCTTGAATAAGAATCTTTGTGGATGTTGTTTTCATTTCTCTTGAATAAATATCTAGCAGTGGAATGGCTGGGAGTATAGTGTATTTTAACTTTATGAGAAAATGCTACATAGTTTTCTAAAATAATTCTATTATTTTATATTTTTACTAGCAGTGTATGAAAGTTCTTTTAGAAACATTTGGTATTCTGGAGGCCTTCCTGGTGGTGCAAGGGGTTATGCTGCAGCACTGTGAAGCTATCAGCAGCTACTGTAGCATGGCACAAGTTCAATCCCCAGCCAGCCAGGGAGCTGACCCACATGGTGCAGCAGACCTCTCCTGTCTCTCACGCTGCTCCCCTCAGCAGTGTGTTTCAGTCTGTCTGCCTGTTCTGCTCCCCACTCTGTCTCTGGTGAATCCTCTCACCCCCTGCACCTATGACCTGTACCCCAGTTCTTATATGCACAAATAAATAAATGTAAAAAAAAAATTGGTGTTCTTAAATCTTTTTCACTTTAACTAGTCTAATAGAGGGTATATAATATCTCACAGTATTTTAATTTTATAGGTAAGTTTTAATATATTATTTTTGCTTATTTGTATTACTGCTTATCTAAAATGAATATGCAATATGAACCAATAATCCCTTATCCAAAAATTCTGAACCCAGAAATGTTTGGAGCTCAGATTTCAAATATATCTACCATATAATTATGTAACATCTTCAGCAGGGTAATTAAATACCCTGTAATCAAATACACTACTATTCCTGCAGCAAACTTATGAAAAGGTACACTAAGATTAAGATTATAAATATCTTCAGGTCAGCTCAGGTCAGGTTTTGCCACCAAGCAAAAGCATCAAGCTAAGGAAAATTAAGCTCAGATTTCAGAGTAATTTTAGAATTAATGATTTGTTCAAAACCAATGCTATCTTTAGGATCTTTCAATTACTCAAAAGTTACACCTCCCATACTGTATATACCATATCCGCAGCAAAGAAAATAATAAGAACACTATTATCACATCCTCCAAGGGTGCCAGTGCTTGCTACTTTAAATTCTGCCAATCTTTACAATAATCCCATGTGGAAAACAACTCTACAGAAGGGCAGGAGGGAAAGGAGATGGGGGAGGAGGAGGACAGACACATGACTGAAAAATACCTTCCTTTTTACAAAAATTTTCAAAACAGGGTCTCCCTGGTGGTACAGGAGTTAAAGTCTCAGTGCTATCAAGCTATCATCAGCCACTACAGCGTGAGTTCGATCCCTGGCCAGGGCGCTAACCCACATGGTGCAGCAGACCTCCCCTATCTCAATAGCTGCTCCTTTCCTCTCAGCCGTCTATCTCAGTAGATGTGCCTGTTCTTCTCCCCACTGTGTTTCCGGTGAATCCTCTCACTCCCCCCCCCACTCCCCCGGATTCTTGTATGCATAAATAAATAAAAATAAATCTTAAAAAATTCAAAACAGCTTTACTCACTAAAACAGAGTAAACAAACTGTGCTATACTATTATTGGAAAGGAAAAATATTTCCTTTACTTTCAGACTCTTAATTGGGCCTTGTGAATTTAACAAAATACAGCCTGGCAAGACTGCTTTTTATTCACATATTTAAGTGGGAGTTCGCAAAATGTGACTGGAAGAGGTGGTTAAAAAATTAAAGAAAAAAATTAAAAAGTTGACAAGAATTTGTAGCAAATATATTATTCAGACATAGGAAGTGGTGGAAAAGGAAACTTACGAGGAAACAAATGAAAAATGTTTTACTTCTGATAGTCTTTGCCAGAGCTTTGCAGTCCCAGTTAACATTTACCATAGCGTAAATAGTTTCATGTTTGTTGAAAATAATGAAAAAATGGTTAGAATTTCCAACACAAATTTTCTAAATACCAACCTAATCTTTCTACTGCTAACTTCATATGGAGACCTATTAAATATAAAAAATCTCTACTTTTTACTTATAATTTTCTCTACTCCACCTGTTTTCTCTATCCTATGTTCTAGTTTCAGGCCATATAACCTGGATAACTGCAACAGTTAAGCTTTGGTGTCCCTGTCTCTAGTCTTGTGCTTCTCAAATAAAACTTTCAAAGTATTTACAAGAATTTATCTATAAAATCTACATACATACCACTTAACTACAAAAATTTTTCATTGGACCCCCACATCATAACACCTGTATTCATTTATGCAAGATACAGTCTACCCTTGTCTGGGATTCTTGTCTACCAGCCTTATGATTCCCTATTTTCTTAACTTATGCCTTATATGGTCTCTAGGACCATTGACTTCTGCCTCCTCATACATACTATAGTGCCGTCTGCATCAAGACCTTTCTCATGTGGCCTCTTGCCTAGAGTATACTGGATAATATGCGGTCATTAGTTAAGACGAGTTTAGGTGTCATCTCTTCTGGGAAGCCCTCACTGACCACTACCTTTCATTGGGGCTCCCAGAATACCCTATGTTGGCTTATTTTGTTTTAGAGTTATTTTCTTATATAATTTCCTTGAGGCTCAGGACTATGTCTTATTTAATTCTGTATCCTTAGTTCTTGCCACAATGCCTGGCACACCAGAATGTAATGTATTTTTGTTGACTGGTTAGATCAGGTTTCTTGACTCCTAATTCAGTGCTAATTCTAATCGATGTAAATTGTTCAAAGAAAGGACTCTTCTACAACACTGATTATCCCACTAATGAAAAAATGTTTGCTGTCAACACACTGTTCTATAATAAAATAAGAAAAATGCCCAAGAAATCATCTCTGTGATTTCAGAGTAAGCAAAAGTTGGATAAATGAACTTTTACAGTGACCATTCTTCATTATGGAGCTTTAGTTTCAAACTCTGTTCCACATGTTAAAAGAAAAACAATAAACTGTTTCTTATCTTTCATTTGTCTAAAAGCTTCAGAGGGAAAAACACATTTTTTTCTATATTTAGAGAAGTGCTTAGAATTATTATAGCTACTTCCGTAAAAATTAAATATTTCCATAATTCATAGTTCTACAAGGCTTTTTTTTCCCTACTAAGACAGAACACTTTAATAGGCTATCTAAAAGGGGGAGATAAATTTTCAGGTAGTTCTTGCAGTGTGCATTAGGCTTTTTTGTTACCCAAAAACAAAAAAAGGGCCTCCCTGCTGGTGCAAGGGGTTAAGCACAGCACTCTGAAGCTATCCGCAGCCACTGCAGCAAAAATTCGATCCCCAGCAGGACAGGGAGCTACACAGATGGTGCAGCAGACCTCTCTTGCCTCGCCTGCTGTTCCCCCCCCGCAGTGTATTTCAGTCAGTCTACCTGTTCTGTTCCCCACACAGTGTCTGGTAAATCCTCCTAACCCCCGCACCTCTGGCCTGTACCCCAGTTCTTTTTTTTTTAAAAAAGATTTATTTATTTATTTATTTGTTTGTTTATTTATTTATTTATTCATTCAAGCACTGGGTACAGTCAGAAGTGAGGGAGGGTAAGAGAATTTACCAGAGCAGGGAGCAGAACAGGCAGACTGACGAAGTACACTGCTGAGGGGAGCAGCGAGCACAGCAGGAGAGGTCTGCGTGCCTTGTGGGACCCTCGCTGGCGGCCAGGGATCGAACTGGCGCTGCAGAGACTGCAGGCAGCTTCACAGCCCAGCACTCAACCTCTGCGCCACCGGGGAAGCCCTGTACCCCAGTTTTTATATGTATAAATAAATCTTAAAATTTTTTTTTAATTAAATTTTTATTTTAGTAAGAATATATAGCTTGAGGAAAACTGGCAGTCTTATTTTAGGCTAAAAACCAATCATACCAAGAGATGCCACTGCCATGTTGTCTGAAAATAAACATCAAAGCAAGGCAGCATTATACAAATAGCACAGATGGTACATAATCAGTTATCATCTGTATTTTTTTAACTTTAATGATTAAACTTAAAATAGAAAGATGACCCAGTTTATTTCAATTTCAAAATGTTAAGCAAAAGCAAATAAATTTAAATAAGTTATTCATTACCATTGTGTACATAGGTGAGCCTCCTTTCTTCTCGGGTTACAATGTTGGATATCCAAATATCATTGCTATGTATGAAAGCAATCCAGTCTGGATCAGCAGGGCATAATTTTGGATCCATCCGAATGTTGGGACAACTGGTTTCCACTAAATTGGGCCGTAAAGGTTGTTGCTAGAAAAGTAAGGCAAGTATTTTAAGGCAAGTATTAGGTCTTCTCTCTCTCTCACTCTCTCTCTCTCTCTCTCACACACACACACACACACACACACCCCCTACCTCATTTGCTAGCACCCTTCCTATGTGAACAACACAATGTCAACTATGATAACTGCTCCTGAGAAAAACATTTTCATGTAAGGGAGACAAACATTTTCATTTTTTTTTCTTTTACTATGAGTTAAAAACCTAAGGTCAATAGGAGAGGAAATAAAGACAATAACAACACTTCATGAATTTTGTTGCCCAAAGCTGTTTAATGGAATAATTATTATTTGTTACTTTTATTAAAACATTTATGAAATGGGACCTCCCCTGGTGGTGCAGCAGTTGAGTGCTGGGCTGCGAGGCTGCCCACAGCCTCTGCAGCGCCAGTTCGATCCCCGGCTGCCAGCGAGGGTCCCACACGGTGCACAGACCTCTCCTGCCGTGCCCGCTGCTCCCCTCAGCAGTGTACTTAGTCAGTCTGCCTGTTCTGTACCCCGCTCTGGCTCTGGTGAATCCTCTCACCCTCCCGCGCTTCTAACTGTACCCAGTGCTCATATAAAATAAATAAATAAATAAATAATAAATAAATAAATAAATAAATAAATGAATAAATAAATAAATCTTTTAAAAAAAGATTAATTAATATTTCAAATTAAATTTATTAAAACAACTTGCTCATAAAAATCTAATGAAAGATAAGGCCATCAAAATTTTATCAAAAGAATTGCTCTAACAGCACATAAGGAATTGCCTATAATATAATCAAATACTTAGGCAGCTCTCCTGCCTGCGTGAGTCCATGCAGGTGTCTCTCTTTCCTTAAAAAAAGGAAAAAATCAAGTAATGAAACCATTTAATAAGAAGAATTAAGCTTTTAAGACAACCTAAAATGGATTGCCCTTGACAATACTATCTTCCAAAATCCCTCCCCAGAGGCATATACAGAAAATGGACATTGATTACTATGCTATTACTGTACCTTTACAGTATCTTCCTACATTTTAGCATTTTAAAAATTCTATGTAATGTGACTGGAAAAGTCAAATTGGAAATTAATACCCCTATTTCTTATTTTATTTGACTACTAATTTCTTCCGTTGATGGGTAAACAGAAGTTTTTTGGTGTTTTTACTAATTACTTTTCTAATTAGGGCACAAATAACTTTTAGGACCCAGAAACAGATTTAACAAGTAGTAATACCAACTTACAGTAAATCCTTGTGGCCCTCCATCTTTTATGTGATAAATTCCACTACCGGCTTGGAATAGAAATGTTCCACTTCCTTGGTGATAATCATAAGAAGCAATTCCAACTGTTCCAATGCGTTTTCTTTCTCTTAATAGTTCCTCTTCTCGGGAATACATTCCATAGTCCAGTGTTGCCTAATGCAAAAGGAAAGAGAAGTCCACTCCTGTTTTCTGAAAGCTTCATTTGTTTTTAGCACTGAAATCCCAGCATCTCCAATAGTATCAAGTCTCCATTTTGCACGACCCAAAATTTGTCAGCAACTTGAAGCAGATGAATTTTGGTAAAACTGCTGAATAATTTCTTAGTAAAAGGTCTCTAGATGATTACTGTATAATTTAGATAAGAATAAAGTCAATCAAGATCTTCTACAACCCAACTGTAATTCTGCAACCCTGCATGCAGTGAAGACAGACTTAGAAGTTCAGTGGTTTGAATCTAGGCTTTGATCCTTAACTAGAAGTCTGACTTTTGGTTAAGTAGCTTAATTTCTTCAAAAGTAATTTTTCTCATTTTCAAAATAATAAATCCAGCTTTATAAATAATAAAAATTCAGCTTTGTGGAGATTAACTTAGATAAAACCATGTAAAGTGCTTACTTAGTGCAATGACTGGCACAGAGTTAAGTTCTCAAATATCAGCTGTCTTTTTTACCTTTCCAATACATCTAATAATACTATCCTCTAATAAAATCCAACAACAGGTTGATCACTTATCTGACTGATGAGGATGAGGGGTTTCCCAAGCTAGAAATATCTGATGCACGTACAAAATTTAATAAGTAAAATAAATCTATCAAGTGCTAACAACAAAAAAAATTACATCCACATATTCCCTAACTAAAAACTCTAATACTTTTAGAAAAGGAACATACAACATATCACTCTAAAATTAAGTCAGCAGGGCCTCCCTGGTGGCGCAGCAGTTGAGCGCTGGGTTGCGAAGCTGCCCACGGCCTCTGCAGCGCCGGTTTGATCCCCGGCTGCTCCCCGGCTGCTCCCCGGCCACTGGAGGAGGGTCCTACATGGCGCGCAGACCTCTCCTGCCGCCCGCTGCTCCCCTCAGCAGTGTACTTCGGTCCTTCTGCCTGCTCTGCTCCCCACTCTGGCTCTTGTGAATTCTCTCACCCTCCCGCGCTTCTGACTGTACCCAATGCTTGTATAAATAAATAAATAAAATTAAAAAAAAAAATTAAGTCAGCACAATGAAAGTAAACATTTTTCAAGGATGGTAAATTCAGGCACATACTTGAAAACACAATATTAGATGAGGTTACAATGAGACAACCTTGGAATGTTGCTAAAAACCAATCTATTTTTTTTGGTTCACTCTATCACCTTTAAAATTTAATGTATAACTTGGGCCTCCCTGGTGGCATGGAGGGTTAAGACAAGACTCAACCTATGAAGCTGTCCACAGCCACTGCAGCACGAGCTCGATCCCCAGCCAGGGAGCTACCCATACGGCACAGCAGACCTCTCCTGCCTTGCCCGCTGCTCCCCTCAGCAGTGTATTCAGTCAATATGCCTGTTCTGTTCCCCACTTTGTCTCTGGTGAATACTTTTACCCCTCACACTTCTCACCTGTGCCCCAGTTCTTGTATACATAAATAAATCTTTAAAAGAAGTTAATATATAATTAAACACTAACACACATTTGTACATCTGTTTAGTAGAAAAAAATTACCACATTCAGTGAACATATCTGTGTTAATTCTGATATTTCTGGGGCCTCCCTGGTGGTTCAAGACATTAAGTCTCAGTACTATGGAGCTATCAGCAGTCATTGCAGCATGAGTTCGATCTCTGGCGAGGGAGCTAACCCACATGGCACAGCAGATCTCTTCTGTCTCACCTGTTGCTGTTCAGTACATCTGCCTCTTCTGCTCCCCACTCTGTCTCTGATGAATCCTTTCAACACCCCCACGTCTACCCCCTGCACCTCTGGCCTACACCCCAACTCTTGCATGCATAAATAAAAAATCTTTTAAAAATTCTGATTTTTTCCTTTTTAAAAAGATTTATTTATGCATACAAAAACTGGGGTGTAGACCAGAGGTGCTGGGGATCAAATTCATGTGACAGTGGCTGGCGATAGTTTGATAGAGTGGTCATTAACCCCTCAGCCACGAGGGAGGCCCCCTGCACTTAGTATGTTTGTACTCAGAAAACAGAAATTTCAGAGTTAAGAAATTGACTTTCACAAGAAAACTCCATGAACTTTGTGATTATAAAATGTGTTATTTGAAAGAATAGCTAGCAAAATAGTAAAAAGAATCCTGAAAAAAACCGACTGTGGGAAGGAAAGTGAACTTTACCAGATATTAAAATATTAGAACACAAATAACAAAATAAACAATAGTACATGAATAGAAAATCCAAACTAGAAAGCTGAATACAGAAATTTGTAAGAAAAAAAGGAGGAGGAGGGACTCACTGGTGGTGCAAGGGTTAAGACACAGCATTATGAACATATCCACAGCCACTGCAGCATGAGTTCGATCCTGGGCCAGGGAGGTGACCCACACGGTGAGCAGACCTCTCCTGTCTCGCCACTGCTCCCTCAGCAGTGTATTTCAGTTAATCTGCCTGTTCTGTTCCCCAAACTGTCTCTGGTGAATCCTCTCACCCCACCACGGCTCTGGCCTGTACCCCAGTTCTTGTATGCATAAATAAATAAAAAATTTTTAAAAAGGAGGAATATGAATAAATGGGAACTTTAAAATCAGTGATTACTGGGCCTCCCCGGTGGTGCAGAGGGTTGAGCACAGTGCTGTGAAGCTGTCCGCAGCCTCTGCAGCACCGGTTTGATTCCCAGCTGGCCAGGGAGATTCCCACATGGTGTGGCAGACCTCTCCTGTCACACCCACTGCTCCCCTCAACAGTGTATTTCGGTCCTTGCCTATTCTGCTCCCTGCTCTGTCTCAGGTGAATTGTCTCACCCTCCTCATAGCCTCTAGATTCTACCTCAGTACTTGTATAATAAATAAATCTTGGGGGAAAAAAAATACCTTAAAAAATAAATAAATAAAATCAGTGATTACTGATTTAAATTTTAATTCATTTGCAATTACTGCCTAGTCACATTCAAAGATAACAATGGATCCACTTTTCATATATTCTCAATGGGTCAGAGATTCACAAGCTAAAAATGAAATCAACGTCCACTTCCAACAAAGATGGAGTAACAGGAATCAGATTTATCCTCCCATCTGAAACAACTGAAAAAAAAGGACAATAAAATGAAATAATGTTTTCAAGACACTGTATATCAGACAATAAAGGAAAAGGATCCATGAGAAATGGAAGTCAAATTAGTGAAGTATTGGGGCCTCCCTGGTAGGGCAAGGGGTTAAGATGTTGCACTGTGAAGCTCTCTGCAGCCAGTATAGCATGAGTTGGATCCCCGGCCAGGGAGGTGACCCACATGGTACAGCAGACCTCTCCTGTCTTGCCCGCTGCTCCCCTCAGCAGTGTATTTTAGTAGATATGCCTGTTCTGTTCCCCAATCTGTCCCTGGTGAATCCTCTCACCATTCCCCCACACTTTCGGTCTATACCCCAGTTCTTTTATGCATAAATAAATAAATCTTAAAAAAAAAAAACCAACTAGTTAAGTATCTGCAGTTGCCCCAGCCTTGAGAGATTCCAGACAGTGGCACATAGAGAGGGAAGCCAAGGTGTCAAAGAAATCACAAAATACTTTGACACAAAAGAAAACAATATATTAAAACTTCAGGGATGCAGCAAAAGCAACGTTCAGAGGGAAATGTATATAACATTAGACACCTACATAAAAAAAAAAAAATCTCACATCAGTTTCCACCTTAAGATACTGGAAAAAAAGGGCAAACTCAACCCAAAGAAAACAGAATTAAGGTACTATTACTAATTAGACTAGGAAAAAGAAAAAAGGAAAAGAAAAATGAAACTCAACAAAACCAAAAGTGAGTTCTTTCAAAAGATTAACAAAATCGACAAATTTAGCAAGACGGGTCTTCAAAACAAAACGAAAGACTCAACTAAAATCAATGGGGCCTCCCTCGTGGCGCAGGGTTAAAGACAGCGCTATCAAGCTACTGCCAGCCACTACAGCACAAATTCGATGCCCTGCTGGCCAGGGAGCAACCCATACAGCGCAGCAGACCTTGCCTGACTCGCTCGCTGCTCCCCTCAGCAGTGTACTTCGGTCGATCTGCCTGTTCTGTTCCCCACTCTGTCTCTGGTGAATCTTCTCATCCCCCACACCTCTGGCCTGTACCCTAGCTCTTGTATGCATAATAAATAAATCTTTAAAAAAAAAAGGGTAATTATATATATGTAAATTTATATAATTGCATGAACAACTGTATGCCAACAAATTTGATAATGTAGATGAACTGATTAAATTCTAGAAACACATGATCTATGAAAATTGACTCAAGAAGAAACAGAAAAATTAAATAGAACTATAACAAGTAAAGAGATTGAATTAGTGACCAAAAAACTTCCCAAAAAGAAAAACCCAGGGCTATATGACTTTACTGATGAATTCTACCATGTTTTGTTTGTTTGTTTTTAAATATTTATTTATTTATGCATACAAGAACTGGGGTGTGGGCCAGAGGTGCAGAGACGGGGTGGTGGTGAGAGGATTCATCAGAGACAGAGTGGGGAGCTAAACAAGCGAACTGACTAAAATACACTGCTGAGGGGAGCAGCGGGTGAGACAGCAGAGATCTGCTGCGCCATGTGGGCCATCTCCCTAGCCGGGGATTGAACTCATGTTGCAGTAGCTGCGGATTGCTTCACAGTGCTAACGGTTTAACCCCTAGTGCCACCAGGGAGGTCCCTAAACTGGACAGATTTAAATCATAGGACTTAAGATTATAAAGATGGCAATATACCCCAAACTGATCTAGAGATTCAATGGAATGCCTATCAAAGTTCCAATTGCTTTTTCTCCAAATATTATTGATAAGGTGGTACTAATATGGAATCACAAAACAATCTTGAAAAAGAATATTAAAAGACTCATTCAACTTCAAAAGTTAAAACAAAGCTACATCAATCAAGACATCATGGGGCCTCCCTGGTGGCACAGGGGTTAAGATGAAACCTATGAAGAAATCCGCAGCCACTGCAGCACAAGTTCGATTCCCGGCCGGCCAGGGAGAAACCCACATGGTGGGACAGATCTCTCCTGTCTCGCCCGCTGCTCCCCTCAGCAGTGTACTTTGGTCCGTCTGCCTGTTCTATTCCCCACGCTGTCTCTGGTGAATCCTCTCACCCCCCGTGCATCTCTGACCTGTACCCCAATTCTTGTATAAAAATAAAATTAAAGGGCCTCCCCGGTGGCGCAGCGGTTGAGCGCTGGGTTGCGAACCTGCCCGCAGCCTCTGCGGCGCCGGTTCGATCCCCGGCTGCTCCCCGGAGGAGGGTCCCACATGGCGCGCAGACCTCTCCTGCCGCCCGCTGCTCCCCTCAGCAGTGTACTCCGGTCCTTCCGCCTGCTCTGCTCCCCGCTCTGGCTCTGGTGAATTCTCTCACCCTCCCGTGCTTCTGGCTGTACCCAGTGCATGTGTAAACAAAAAAAAAAAATAAACAAATAAACATGCCTCTATAAAAATAAAATAAATAAATAAATAAAAAATAAATTAAAAAAAAAAAAAGACATCATGGTACTGGCATATGGACAGAAACATAGGCCAGTGGAGAAGAGAGAACCTAGAAACAAATCTATACATTTATGGTCAACTGATTTTCAAAGAGGGCATTTTTTTTTTTAGAGATTTATTTATTTACTTATACAAGCACTGGGTACAGTCAAAAGCACGGGAGGGTGAGAGAATTCACCAGAGCCAGAGCGGGGAGCAGAACAGGCAGACTGACGAAGTATACTGCTGAAGGTAGCAGCAGGCATGGCAGGAGAGGTCTGCGCACCATGTGGGACCCTCGCTGGCGGCCGGGGATTGAACTGGCACTGAAGAGGCTGCAGGCAGTCTCGCAGCCCAGCACTCGACCACTGCGCCACCAGGGGAGGCCCTCAATGAGGGCATTTTGATTATTCCACGTGGAAGGAATAACCTTACAACAGATGGTGCTCAGACAACTGGATTCCACATGTAAAAGTATTAATCTGGATCTAACATCATATACAGAAATTAATGCAAAGTGGATCAGTCATAAATGTAAGAACTAAAATTATAAAATGCAGAAAATGTAGATAAAAAATCTGTATAACATTGGATTAGCAACAGCTTAGATATATGCCAAAAGTACAATCAGGGGGTCCTCCCTGGTGGCACAGGGGTTAAAGACAGCACTATCGCCAGCCACTGCAGCGAAAGTTCGATCCCCAGCCAGACAGGGAGCAACCCATATGGCCCAGCAGACTTCTTTTGCCTTGTCCACTGCTCCCCTCAGCAGTGTATTTCAGTAGATCTGCCTAGGCCAGCATAACTAAGCTCTGCCTCTGTCTTCACATGGCCTTCACCTTTGGTGTCTGTCTCAAGTTTTACTCTCTTTTTTCTAACAAAAATACCAGTCACGGGCCTCCCCTGGTGGTGCAGTTGGTTGAGCGCCATGGTATGAAGCTGTCTGCAGCCTCTGCAGCACCGGTTCAATCCCGGCCGGTGAGGGTCCCACATGGCGCAGCAGACCTCTTCTGTCTTGCCTACTGCTCCCCTCAGCAGTGTATTTCATCAGTCTGTTTGTTTCTCCCTCCCTACTCTCTCTGGTGAATCTCTCCTCACTCTCGCATCTGGCCTGTACCCTGGTTCTTGTACAAATAAATAAATCGTAAAAAAAAAAAACAGTCATGGGGCCTCCCTGGCGGTGCACAGGGTTAAGTTTCAGTACTATCAAGCTATCGCCAGCCACTGCAACATGAGTTCAATCCCCAGCCAGGGAGCTGACCCACATGGTGCAACTGACCTCTCCTGCTTCACCCACTGCTCCCCTAGCAGTGTATTTCAGTCAATACACCTGTTCGGCTCCCCACTCTGTCTCTGGTGGATCCTCAGCCCCCACATCTCTGTCCTGCATCCCAGCTCCTGTATGCATAAATAAATAAATCTTTAAAAACAAAAAGCCTCCAAAAACTCTAGTTGATCCACCAAATAGTTGTTGCACTGCAGTTTCCGTATATGAAACTTCAGCTCATAAACGAAGGACTGATAAGAAAATTAGTTTATAACTCCTAATAAACGAATGAATTTAGGCAATGATCAAAAAATACTAACATCACAAAACGAGAAATAAGGCTCTATATTTGAACATTAATTATATGATGACATAAAAATATATTTTGTTTAGATATGATAATGATACTGTGGTAATGTGCAAAAAGAGTTTGTTTCCTTTGGAGTTACATGCTGACATTATTTATGAATGAAATATATGGGATTTGCTTCAAAATAATCTGAGTGTGTAGGTAGGAGTTGAAAGGGAGAAATGGAACAGTGGAACACTGATGGCCAAGATTTGATTATGTTAAAACTGGCACACGTTATTCTACTTTTATATATTTTGGAATTTTCCATTATAAAAATAAAAAAAAAAGAACTTTGACGCATTAATTTACAAAGCATTCTAGGAGAAAACTACCATTATTTCAGTTCAATACACTGTTCTTAGAAAAAAGATTTTTTTTGTTTGAAAGTCACAAGTCAGGCCTCACTGGTGGCATAGGGATTAAGTCTCAGTGCTTATCATGTTATCATCACTGCAGTCTGAGTTCGAGCCCAGGCCAAGAAGGTGATCCACATGGCGCAGCAGACCTCTCCTGTCTCATCCCCTACTGCCCTCAGCAGTGTATTTCAGTCGATCCACCTGTTTAGCTCCCCACTCTGTCTTTAGTGAATCCTCTCACCCCCACACCTCTGGCCTACACCTCAGTTCTTCTACACAAAAACAAATAAATAAATCTTAAAAAAATAAATAAATAAACTCTACCTGAAAAAGATCCAAAAGAGGCTTCCAAGATAGCATTAAGACTGCTGCTCTGTTGATGGTTTTGGGAATTTCAGAATAAAACAGTGTATTTTCTCTGTTCTCACCAGACATAGCTGTAAGAAAACAAAATCAATTTTTATTATTTTAAAAAACTGTATTTCATAACAATCATAATAGTAAGGATAATACCTGCTATATACTGTAAAGTATGCAATTGCACTCTATGTGATCTATAATTATGCCTAACAAGTAGACATGAAACTTCCTTCACTAAAACCCAAGCTTCATAGAAAAATGCTCAGCTTTCATTTTGATATTTAGATTTTAGTCCCTCTCAAAACAAACATAAAATAAGAACAAGTGTAATTCATAGGTTTTTTTTTTTTTAAGGAATGTCGTTAAGTTTCTTCGAAATTGGCAACAGAGTCATGAGATTTCAAATTTCATGCTTTGAGACAAGTTCATATTTCTAAACTCCTTTTTCTGAATCATTTAAAGTATTTACTTAGAAAAACATATAGGGCTAACTGAATTCTGGTTTTTCTTCATTATAAATGTTGTATATATGTGACCATAAATAAGGTCTTTGGCGTTTCAAAAGAAAGTATGCCAAATTAAAACAACACAGAATCTGAGATCTGATTTGCTGCAAGTTTCTATCCTTTGTTGGGGAAAGCTATATGAAAGAGGTCTATACTTATTAGAAGCCAGGTCTGTTCTGCAAATCTTTGAATAACTGTATGGGAAGGGCACAGAAGTATAAAATAGTTCCAGGCAAAAGAGAAGTAACAGGGCCTCCCTGTTGGTGGAAGGGATTAAGTCTCAGCACTGTGAAGCTAACTGCAGCCACTGCAACATGAGTTTGATCCCCGGCCAGGGAGCTAACCCACATGGTGTAGAAGACCTCTCCTTTCTCACCTGCTGCTCCCCTCAGCAGTGTATTTCAGTAGATCCACCTGTTCTGGTGGATCCCCACTCTGTCTCTGGTGAATCCTCTTATCCCCTACATTTTTGTATGAATATAAGAACTGGGGTATTCATACAAGAACTGGGGTACAGGCCAGAGGTTTGTGGGGTGGGGGTGAGAGGATTCACCAGAGACAGAATGGGGAACAGAACAGGCAAACTGACTGAAATACACCTCTGAGGGGAGAAGTGGGCAAGACAGGAGAGGCCTGCTGTGCCATAAGGGTAGTTCTCTGGCTGCCTGGGATCTAACTCATGCTGTGGAGAGCTTCACAATGCTGTGCTTAACCCCCTGCGCCACCAGGGAGGCCCTAAAAATAAGTAAATCTTTAAAAAGAAAATGTGATCTTATACAAAGAATCTAAATATATACATGTATATGTTATATACATATAAAAATATCTCTAAATACTAGAGATATTTAGAAAACATTATAAGGACAATAAATAAATATAAACGTACAAACACAAATGAAACAGTTTTAGAGATGGAGAGGAAACTTATTTTTTAAAAGTTAATGAACAAAAAGTAAATCAGTGGTCTCATTAACTTTGGATAGACCTTAAATCTGGTCTCTATGCTTAAGAAGCGTAAGCACAAGAAGATGCCAAACCAGTCTTGGTCTAAAAAAATGAAAGCAGCAGGTGTTGAGAGCAAGAACAAACTAATGGTTTTATTATTGTTTATGATCCTAATCTGATCGATTCTAAGGGAAGGCATTTTGATAAGGAGAAAGTAATTTCTGGCCTCACTGACTTTGAAACTAAGAGTATGATCAATTGACAAGTTGTTTTATAGATATGATGCAAATTTTTTTCAATAAACACACTGTAAATGTAAGTAAAGCTAAAGTCAATGGGATAAGTCCAAATTAAAACAGCACCAAAACATAAGTTGTTTAAGTCAACATTTTTTTCTTTAATGAAAATCACTAATTCCATTTATTTACCAAAATGTTTGAATTAAGAAGACATTTCATCTTAGAAAATATGACTTCATATCACCAAGGTAATAGATCCTGTCTGAATGAGGCCCATCTGGGTCATTCCTCTTCACAAACATAAAATCATGTGGTGCCTTTGCCATCATGTAGCCATGATATTTTCTGGTATCAGCAAGCAGCTTTTTCAGCTGACTCCAGGAATACCGCTCGACATAAAATGGCTCCAATTTAGGCCGATCCTGTGATTCAATATGCTCCTCACGTTCTGCAGTTTCAAAGATCTCAACGCCCAGCTGCTCTGTTTCCATTGCTGCTGCCATGTTGCATTTTCCTAGAAAAACAAGGCGCAGGAAGTTATTCACAAGCCTGTCTTCTCTTACATTACTTAGAATGACAGTCTGATAGCTTCCCTCACCCCCATCCCTCCAAAAAAAGAAAAAAATGCTTTTCAGCACAGTTGCAATATAAGCTAATAAGAAAAGCAATAGCTCCCCCTTCTCTGTTTTCACTTTAAAAATGAGATTTAAAAAAAAATTGAGGTCATGTCTATTTCACAGTGACTATAAATCCCTTTGGGAACTTTTATAAAAGGCTCTCCTTAGGTATCTCTTGCCAAAATTCCTTTTTACTTTCCCACACTGGAAGGAAACAGGCCATATGCCAGTTGGCTGTTATGCTTCATCCAAGAGCATGTCAATAGTGAAGCGAAATGTGCCAAGGGAGTTCAGCCATTTTTTGCACTTAAAAAAGTAGCACATTTGATAAACCTGGTCTTCTTCAGCTAACAGAAATAATCTCATAGACAGTATACTTGTAGTAACCTTCCTCGGGCATTTAACCAAGACAATATAAACACTGTTTCCTTTTAAACGGAACTCCAAACAAGACTTAGCTAGCTGGCACATTTTTGCCTTGCTTAGACATCACTATTAATGATCATTTGTGGTAACTATACAGTAATTTGTGACTATTAATAACAATTATACAACTTTTACTCTCAGAATTAAACGAAAAAAAGAAAGATACTATCTTCAAGAAGTTTTACTTACTGTAGTTAATACAGAAAGCATTTAATGTTTCTACTATCAACACCTGATAAAAATCTGAACCCAATTTACCAGTTCAACACCAAAAGAGCATTTCATCTACTAATGTTTCTTTTCATATTAAAATCCAGAAGAGGAGGTGTTTTTCTTTTATCTACTGCAATATTTAATCGGGGCAAAGTGTAAGGAAAATAACAAAGTGTAATCATAAACCATTCTGTCATATTCTCATATATATTATTTATGACAGCTACCAAAAAGAAACAACATACAAAAAATTCTAGGGCTACCTGTACTTTCTGAACTAATAAACATCAAAAAAACGGTTTTGGGAAATAACCTAGATTGTGTTTATGTAGCCAGTTTCAAAACAACAATCTAATACTGGCTACTTGGCTATACATTTATATATCTTTTTTTAAAACTCAATGTTGCAGGTCAACATTAGTTCATGGTTAGATGTATCAACTACAGAGAAAAATTAACAGATTTGGGCTATGAATCAGTCCATCCATTCGGTGTGCTTTATGGCATGTAAAATGAACTGAACCATGTGGACAAGAGATTGTGGTTTTTTTTTCATGCTATAGTGAACTACACTGTTTTCAATGTAACAAAAAGTAGCCAGAAAACTCTTTAGACAGTTACATCAGGTATACAAGTTATATCATTACAACTGGGCATTTCTCTCCAATGATTAAAAATCCAAACAGCTCAGCAGAAAGGTTATTAGCTCATGTGGTGTTCAGCATAGTGATATTAGGTGGAAATATATGATAGTTGTATTTTTTGGCCATTTAAAAGGTAGTGGCAGCAGCTCATCCTGCCCACTGTGTCTATGCAAGTGTACTTTACTTTTCTGTCCCTTTTCCGAATAAACCTGTTCTTTAAATATAAAAATAATAATAATAAAAGCTAGCGGAGGTCTACTTTCTATCAAATATCACTGGATCTATTTTTAATTTTATATCTAACAGAGAGGGAACAAGTGAGAGAAGTTAACAAATGAGGCTCATTTTTCTCAACTCCTCTTGTAAAATTTGGAAGTACATCTTCAAACTACTGCTCACAAGCATGGGGTTAAGTTAAGCTCAGACATTCCATGCCTCACTGCCCAGCTTCTTGAAACGTCATTAACTTGACACCTCTCCTATGTAAAAGTTACTTATCTTGCACTGATACAAAATTATCGGGCATTCCTAAATCTTATTAGGTCCTTAGACTATTTCTGTCTCTACACACAAAGACTTTACAGTTCAACTGACACTCTACTACTCTGTATGTTTATGGTGAGTGTATATCTTGCCTATTACTAGGATAGACGTGATATTACAAAATATTAGTAATTTACACAAATGTGTAGCTAAATGATTTCCAAATCTAACACCATACATACAAATATTCTTAAAATTGTGACCAGAGTTTTCTGATTTCAAAAACTAGAAACAGGATCAGCCCACATTCTCAGCACAGTACATATACTCACTGCCCCACCTACCTCTTCACCTTTCCTGGGTGCCTACCTGACTGTATTTTCATCTGCTCAGATCTCTTCCACATTCAAAGAGATCTTTTTTGCAATTGACTCAACTTCAAGCATAGATCCCTCTGCTCATTCTGCCTCTTCTCACAGGAGTCTTTCCTTTTCTCACCATCCAATCCTACTCACCAGGATAGTGAAATAAGATATAAGGTTGTTGATCAGTATTAAAATTGATCACTGCCCAAAAGATTAAATCTAAGAAGTTTCAAATAGTACTTAAGAAGATACATACTTTCTGGTGTAACATACAATGCCTGACTTATTTTGTGCCAGCATTTAGAGACTAAAATTCTAAAATTACTTCACAAAGGTGTAGCCCAGTTGTCAAAGGGATATCCTAACTGTAAACCATCACATCTAGCCATGCAATAAAAAGAAAATGGAAGAAACTTAAAAAGCATAAGACATACAGGTGTCAGGTTACTTGACTTGCAACTCCTCAGAAATTACAGATTAACTTTCTATGTGCCTGGTCCATCATGTTTTTAACATAATAACGTTATTAAAGTAACATATTATCTAACATAATACTGAGCTAATTGGACACAAAATGGACTCAATCGAAGAGCCAGTAAGAATTCTAGAACACGCCATTCTTTTGTGGAAAGAGAATTAACTTGTATTTATTTAGGTTTTCACAAGAATGCACTTCAAGTGCATTCCACTCTTGCTTCTTTTCTTTCCATGTGTACTCTTAAAATAATTGAAGTAGGTAACTTTTCTGTAAAAATATTTTTTCACGTTGAAATTCTGGTTTAGTAAAAGAAAAAAAGAAGGGTTTGTAATTACACCTGGGAGTTATCAGCTTTAATTCTGAGCTCTCACAGCCCAACTGCGTGATGGAGAGAGATGGGATGAGAAAGCTTAGTGGCAAATGGAGGGAAAACAAGTTAAGTTATGCTAGTACAGCAACAATTGACTTAGACGTCAAGACACCACACCTTTCCATGCACTAACTCCTTCGGAGAAGGACTTATTGGATTAGGAAATAGTTTCAGGACTCTTGAGCTTGGACCCACCCAAACGTCATTCCTTATTATTATTTTTTTTAACCCAAGGGCCAAACAGTGATTCACTTAAATACCAAAGCCTCGTTTGGCATTAGGGTCCTCGGCTAGTTGAGAGGTTCATTACTACCAGAGTGGGCAAAATTCTTCGATGCTATCTATGAATGAGGAAGAAAGAGCGATGTAGCAGAGAATGCTGAGAAAAGACGGATTAGGGAGATGCCTAGTAGTAAGAGAAAAGCGTGTGCGAGGGAGGAGAGGCTTACAAAGGAGACCATCTACCTGCCGAAGGTGGGCGGAACAGAATGAGAGCGGGGCAGGGAAGGAAGACACCTGGAGGGAGGCAGCAGAAAGCAAATAGCACCAGCTAGGAAACCAGAAAATCTCAGTCCGAATCCAATTTGCCACAGTCGGACTTCAGACAAATCCCTTCGCCATTGTGGGCTTCCGTTTCCTCCTCCGTAAGCCCGGACAATACCCGGCTCCCACCCCAGCGAGGTTCAATTGAGACAACGGACGGGGCGGTCCGAGGCCGGCACCCGGCGCCGCGGGGCGCCCGGTGAACGTTGGCTGCCTCGGAATCTCGGCGCCTCGCTTCCTCTTCCGGCAAGCGGGGTCCGCCAGCGGCCGTGGCCCGCGCAGGGAGGCGCGCCCGGCAAACCGCAGGGCGGGCGAAGCCGGAGGGCGCGCCGGGCGATTCCCCGGAGACGCGGAGAGGGCCGGGGCGGGCTGGGGCCCAGGCCTGGCGGGCTAAGGGAAACAGAGGGGGCGGATACTGCACCTTCCCCCCGCCCCGGCCCAGCCCGGACCGTCCCGACGCGAGCTACGGAGCGGGTCGGCGCCGCTTCATGCCGCGCTGCCTCCACTCCGACCGGTTGCGGTTGCGTTCTCGGCGGCGCGCCGGTGCCCGTCCAGGCGGCGAACGCGGCACTTAAAGGCGGCAGCGCGGCTGCGGCGGCAGCGGCTCTAGCACTTCCGGTTCCTACCGCCCCGCCCGCCGGCCAGCGAAAGCGCCGCGGGGCCAAGAAAGACGCGGCTGCTTCTTGGGCGGGGTCTGTTCGTGACAGCGCCGTCTAGTGGCCGGAGGAGCGGCCGAAGCGCGGGAAGGAAACGGGGCAGGGCTCGGGGACTGACATGAAAACCACAAAGGGGCCGGGCGAACTGAGGCGCTTTTCCATGAAACAAATGCACATCGAGTGCCGGCTTGTAGGCGCTGAGATTAGAGCAGGGAGCAAGCCAGGAAAAAAAGCCGCGTCCCTTCAAAGAGATGACTTAGGACGAGGCCAGGGCTTTGGTAGTTGTGTCTCCTTGTTATGGCAGAAAGAAAGCTGAACTTGGAGTCAGAAAGCTTGAGGGACTTTGTAAAAGAGAAATAATAGGGCCTCTCTAGTGGCGCAAGGGGTTAAGCACCGCACTATGAAGCAATCCGCAGCCTCTGCAGCACGATAAAGATCTATTATAAATAAATTATATATAAATATTATAAATAAATAAATCTTTAAAAAAAATAAAAGAGAAGGGCCTCCCCTGGTGGCGCAGCGGTTGAGCTCTGGGCTGTGAAGCTGCCTGCAGCCTCTGCAGCACCAGTTTGATCCCCGGCCGCTGGGCGAGGGTCCCACATGGCGCGCAGACCTCTCCTGCTGCCCGCTGCTCCCCTCAGCAGTGTGCTTTGTCTGTCTGTTCTGTTCTCCGCTCTGGCTCTGGTGAATTCTCTCATCCTCCCGTGCTTCTGACTGTACCCAGTGCTTGTATAAATAAATAAATAAATCTCAAAAATAAATAAAATAAAAGAGAAATAATAACACATCTCTTAGTTACAATTAAGGAAAACTGTGTGTGTCCCATGAAGATAAATAAACTGGGGCCCAGGGCAGGGGTGTGTGACTTGCTACAATCAGAAGCGAAAGCAGGTCCCATTTCTTTTAGCCCATGGCATCCATCGGCTGAAGAGAAAAACGGAGCCCCGGGAGGTGCCTGGGGAAGTAGGAGTACAAACAATGGAAACTGGGAGTCCCCAATTTTTTGCTATTATAAGAACCCTGTGTCAGAGGTCTGTGCCATTAGGATTTATTGTAATTGTCCTAATAAAAGATCCATTTGAGTGCCATGTTCCACTCCTCAGTCAGTAATTATCCACTCTGTGGTTAAATGAATTGTCCCTCAGGCTTTTTGTAGTTGAACTTCCCTAAAAGAAAGGTAGAGTCATTTCACTGTGATTCCTCTATGATTTTTCTGTAAATGTATAAAAAGCCAGTTTTAAGGCTTTGAATGCACATACTAACAAAATACAGTGAAATATCTTACACTTTGTTTCACTCAGCCAGCAAGCGATTACTGAATCTCTACCACCTGCTTGTCACTGTTTTCAGCTCTGGGGCCACAATAGTGAACAAAATCTCACCCTGTCTTTGCGCAGTTGCCCTTCAAATATGGAAATAGGGGCCTCCCTGGTGGCGCAAGGGGTTAAATCTCAGCACCATTAAGCTAAGGGCAGCCACTGCAGCAGAATTCAATTCCCTTCCAGGGAGCTAACCTACATGGCACAACAGATCTCTCCTGTCTCTCACCTGCTGTTCCCCTCAGCAGTGTATTTCAGTCAATCAGCCTGTTCTGCTCCCTACTCTGTCTCTGGTGAATCCACTCACACACACACCCTGCATCTCTGGCCTGTACCCAGTTCTTGCATGCATAAATAAATAAATGTTCAAAAAAAAAAAAAAAAGAGGAAAAAGACCTCCCCAAAAGCAAACAAACAAAAATCATTACTTCGTGAATTAAAGAAAAAAAAAAAAATAGAGCCCAGAGGGTTTAAGGGCTTACTTAAGTTGCATGTTATGGATTGAACTAGATTTGAATTAATTTTTCTTTGTTTTCAGTCATTTTCTCTCTCTCTCTCTCTCTCTCTCTCTCTCTCTCTCTCTCTCTCTCTCTCTCTCTCGCTCTCTCTCAGGTTTCAAAAGCCTCAACCCCTGAGAAAGCTGTGGGGGAACATAACCACCGCACACTCTAGAAACTGCTTGTATCTACCTAAATCTCACAGACAACGGTTTGACCAGAAGCTTAGCTGAGTCTTTGCTTTGTGATCTTGCCAGAGCAAGAGGGCCAGAAGGCTCATGAGGGCCAGGAGGCAATCACCTCTGGCAGGCTGTCTCCAGACAGTTTGTCATCTCCCCCTAGCGTATGATGAGGTGTGGGGCTTTCTAGCAATCATCTAGAACTGGCTCCTCAGCAATGAGGCATCTCACAGTTGATGTTACTTGTCATCTGGCCCCTTTTGTTGTTTGGTGTGTGGGACAAGGACCGTGAGATAGATGGCACCAGCATGCCTTCCTCCCTTTGTTGTATTTTTAAGTAGATAACTCTCTGACTTTAAAGAGGTTCACTGTATCTTTACAGGCTAAATCCCTCCTCAGGCCTGGCCTTACCAAACTAGTTTGTGTTTGACAAAGCATAGATAGCTTTGGGCTGCCCTGCGTTCCAGGAACTCATGAGAAAAAACAAGTTATCTAGCACATTCAGTCTGAATAAATAACATAAGGGGGAGAAGGATCGATACAGTTTTGTCTCTGCTTTGGACACAAGTAAATCACACAGTTTTAACAAGACAGTCATTCTGGCATAAAGGACAGTGGACAGATTAGTGTTGGTGAAAGCTAAGGGGGCAAGGAAGGCCAAATGAGAACATTTCCTGGGGAAGCCTGGGCTGCATCCTGAACCAATGCCTGAAATAATCTGGTCTTCATGCACTTCTAGCCTAATTTTTTAGAGTACCTAACACCTTCCCACATCAGGCCTTCATGGAGACCAATTTGTCTAACATTCTTTTTGCTTCTATGATCTTTAGCAGCAGTACTTGCCTGCAGGGGGCGAAACATCTATACTTATGTTCATATATGTACACTTAAAATGCAAAAATCATAGAATCAAAGAATTGGGGTGACTTGAGAGATGACTGAACCTAATTATTTTATATCACAAAAGGAAGGCCCAGAGAGAGAGTGTGACCTGCCCTAAAGTCACACAGCTACTTATTGGCAACTCCCAGAGGGAATTTCCAAAACCAGCCACAAGTATTATCCTCTTCCTGCAATTAATGGAAGGAGGAAGGAGATACTCTGGGAACCCTGGTTTCCCAGAGGGGTATACCCAGAGCCCTACACCACTTCCACCCAACAACAAGCATCATTTTTCCAATCTAAATGGTCTGAATACAATTTTCTGACATAATTAGGGAAAGATTCACCAATAATCCTACTAACTGACCAGCCCTTTTTTGTTTTGCATATATGCATATATTATATATGTAGCAGGAGCAACATTTTCAAGTCATGAACATACTAAAGGAATGGCTTCATTCCTTCAGTTTTTCTTTTTTTAAAAAAAATTTATTTTATTTATTTATGCATTCAAGAGCTGGGGTGTAGGCCAGAGGTTGGGGGGGGGTGCTGATGAGAGGATTCACCAGAGAGAGTGGGGAGCAGAACAGGCAGACTGACTGAAATACACTGCTGAGGGGAGTAGCCGGCAAGACAGGAGAGGTCTGCTGCACCATGTGGTAGCTCCCTGGCCAGGGCTCAAACTTGTGCTTCAGTGTCTGCAGATAGTATCATAGCGCTGAAACTTAACCCCTTGTGCCACCAGGGAGGCCCCCCTTTAGTTTTTCTCTAACTCAACCCGACTTGTAACTATATGCCCCATTTCTCTTACTAAAAATATGTCATCTTGGGCCTCCCTGGTGGCACAAGGGGTTAAGCACCACACTGTGGAGCAATCCACAGCCTCTGCAGCACTAGTACGATCCCCGATCCCCGGCTTAAAGGAAGTCCTTATAAGGACATGAAGACATAAGAATAAATATAGAGAAGACCATGAAACAATGGAGACAAGAGACTGGAGTGATGTATATACTTCCATTTTATAAAATATAAGCAAAGATTACAAGCATTGCTGGAAACTACTGGAATCTAGGAAAATAGCAAGGAAGGATACTTTCCTAGAAACTTTTTCAGAGGGAACATGGTCCTATGACACTTTGATTTTGGACTTCTAGCCTCCACTGTTATAGAGCAACCCCGATATTAAAGGGGTTCCTGGCTGTGGGTCCTCACCCGCGCGCTTTAAAGGGACTTATGAATACTCTACTACAGACACACGCAAAAGGGTTAATAAAAGGTTTATTTACAAGAGAAAAGGAAATAAAGAAAATGTACAACTCAGGGAGAAAATAGGGAAATAAAGTCTTTAATGCGTCCTACCCAATCCGACGACCTGGAAAC